AAAAAGGATGGTAAGGACCGACTTTGTGTTAGTTAGACCCCAGGCAGGGTGAAAACATTGTATTATGACCGCATGGGCACACGCCGTGTTATGAGCGAATAGCGGTACTAAGTTGTTTATGTTTTAAGAATTCTAAATACTGGTAATACAGTATTACGAAATATGATAGAAATACGGAATTAATTTTCATTCACTCGTTACATATCGTTTTTTATAAAAGAATTATTAAATATCGATTTGTAAAAACATAAGAGATACTGTTTCGATTAAGTTCTGTAAGGTCTTTAGTAATAATAGTTTGAAATGTGTTTAAAAATAACATTATAATTCTCATCAAAATTAATTCTGACCCTATGGTTGTCGACTACACGTCGTGAACAATTTGACAATTAAGGAAAGGTTTCCAATACCATTAATTAACGATCACATAGATCGACTAGGAGACGGGTCACTGTTTGTAATATAATAACCAGATTTCATCGAATAAACTCCATAAAGAGTCGGTAGGGAAGAAAGCCTCTGCAACGCCAGAAGGCCACTATAGATATCTTAAAATGCCGTATGGTTTTGTGAATGGGCCAATTGTTTACGAACGTATAATGACGGATACGTTAAAATCATACATAGAATCCGGGTTTGTATTGGTGTACATTAATGACATCATCACCCTTCAATAAGGTTTCGGTGAATATTAAAACTTTCACAGTGAATAACTATAATTCCAGAGTGTTATTGATGCCCTTTAAGTGTTAATATTTTAATATATTTCTTGTTCAATTCTCCAATTGAATTAAGTATTCTAGTGAGTTAGTGTTAGTAACTACACATGTACCTACAAAAATAGTCCGCTAAGCCAAATAATTCTCTAATTTGTTGATGTGCTGTGGTTGTGATTATTGAACCAAAGCTTTTATTTTATTCTCACTTGTCATTACCTAACCATGACCACTAATTCTACCAACATATTCAACTTCTGGAATTTAAAATGTACACTTTCGAATGTTAAATGGAAACCCAGCATCGGTGATTGCCTTTAAAATGGAATCTTATAACTTTAAAACGGCGACCGGAGAGACACAATCAAATAAAAAAAAAGAAAAGATAAGAGTGTAGTGATAGGACAAAGGCTACGAAGGAACGTGATACACCTAACACGAGTGTAAATCAGTTCATGATGGAAATATGCTTAGTGAAGACCAGACATTTAATGAGTCAATTTATAAATAATGATAAATTGAGTTACCAAAAATATATATATATGCTTAATTGGTTAAATTTATAAAACTTTAGAATAAGGAAGGGATTTAGTGTATGTATCTATACAATAGATATAATACACTGTCTCACGTACCACACTGGAGGAGGTGGCATGCGCTCGGCAGTCTAATGACTAGCGCGGAGTGGAGCGGTTGCGTGCGCCTGCGCTCTAGGCGGGGTAGCAGTGAGCCAGTGACTAGTTATACTTACATGTAGGACCAGGGATCCTACAGTGGGTATTCCCAGGGCCAACAATATCAGGCTCTGGGCGACCCCCACACAAGTCCCACTGTCGAGCCAGGGCAGTGGGTAGTCTGTAGGCGGATTTCTCCCCGAAAAAAAAAAAAGGCTCCACCACCTTCACGCTTAGAGAAATTCGATGGGAATAATTATGACATAAAAATATTATTACGTGTACTGAGGATAAAAAAATTAAAAATTTAAAAGAATGAACTTTAGTAAAATACGAAATAATAACTAGAAATCACTACATATAATGTTCCATACATTTGTATTCGTCGTCTTGAATTAGTGTTGTGTTGTTATTTAATGAGCAAGTAGACTTTTAATCAACTAATTATATTCATTGCGTAATAAGTTTTTGGGAGTTTATTCCTTAAGAATCGATTTTCATATATAAGGCGCCCGGTATGAGAAAAATCCTAGGGGTAAAATCTAACAAGTAACGAAAATCGTGTCGCGTTTTTGGTGCGGACCTTTAGTGCGCAACTTTCTAATTTGGCTGTGAGTAGGATTGCCAACTCTTGAAAGGACCAACTGTTGTAATTAATAATGAAGGCAATGTTGATCTAATCAATAATTAAAAAATGATAATTGTTAGAATAATAATTACCTAATTTATACAAATTTCTAATGAAATATTTGTGCACATCTAAAATTGCCTATTGTGAAAAATTTAATGTAAAATATTTCGCCGATTAATTATGATTAATGTTTATAAAATGAATAAATGTATATATATGTATATATATATACATGAATATTATTTTTTCATTAATTTGTGAATTTACCCTTTCATATGATATTAATCTTTTTTCAGTTGAATAAACTCTTTTAGCGTATGGTTAGATACTCGTACCTTCTTACGGAGTAAACTCCAGTCGTGCGTCGGAGTTGACACACACATTATTTTTTCAATCTTACCGTTTGTATATTTTCTTCAGTAGTTTCCATATTTCTGTTTATTAATCACCATTTAAAATAAAGAAATAATGTTAGGTAATATTAAATAAGAGTGATGTTGTATGACTATAAGCCAATTAACATTAAAAAATCCGATTTGAATACAGAATCATTATCGTATTAAAAATTATAATCGGATTACAAGGACTTTTAGGTGTTTTTGGATTAACATCTTATAAAAGACGTATGTCTTCATTCAATTTTAATCTTTATAATCTATTAGTCTCTATCCAACGTCAATCATATTATAATACCTAAATACGTCAGCATTTCTGCAATTTTTATCATAGGTTGCTGTTATTATTGTTGTTTTATTATCATTTTTTGCGTGTAGTCAACTTATTACCTTCAAAAATAAAGGGAAGGTTACATTAATTCGCATAAAGCTGAAAATCGGCATTAAATTGGGAACACTACTATAAAAAATCTGTCAATAATCCCAATCGATCTGAAGTGTGCAATGGCAAAACAAATAGGCAATGCAATAATTATTCTTCATACAATTATCTATAAAAATTGTTATAACATTTTTTAACTAACAATTACCATTTCGGAGATGTAGCGATGCAAAAAGTTTAAAAAAATATGTTTTTTATTATACATGTTAAGTCAGTAAGCAAAGCATACATATAGTTTGTATACATACATATAAAATGACGGTGATGTCCTAATAGGTGAAACAACGATCGAACAATTTAACTCGACAAAACCAACTTTTGTTGTTAGTGATTTTTTGGCATTTACCACTCGAATTTTAACAGAACAAAAATATTTCTTAAAAATTTTTGAAGGCTTAAAAACAATGAAATATATATTTAACCAAAATCTGCTATCTACATTTCTAAAATGATAAAATCACATACAATTTTTTCATGCAATAACTGGCTGAAAACAATCGTTTTGAAATTGTTTGAGAAACAAGATTAAGTTGATTGTGCTGATGTTTCTAAATAAAGTACACCACAAGCTATAATCATCAAAGGAATTCGCTTCCATCTTTCTATAACCCGAGCTTAAAAAAATTACGTGTTTAACTTAGTTTAAATACACTTGTTTTTACCTTATACTTTATACCTTATTCCAACGTGCACCGGAAAAAGTCTTCAATACATTTTTTAAATAAATAAAAAAACAAAAATTTATTCAACTTGATGCGATTGCAAAAAAGTAAGATTGCTTTATCAATGTGTAACTTGTCGAGGCCAATCGTGCTCTTATGTGTTATGTAATAAACAGTAGAAGATTCTTACGATATGGGCTACGAGACAGTTGCTGACACTTTCTTTGAATAATTTTTACTTACTTTTTTTATTTTTTTATTTACTTTTAGCCAGTAGGAAGCAGAAAGATATGGCATGATTGAAGTTCCATTAGTGTTTAGTATTAGTATTTATCAAAGAGAGGGATCATTTTCCCAAATCAATTATCACTTTTATCTAATAAATAATGAGAATAAATGGGGTTCATATTTAATAATTAACGTTTTGGACATCGCTGACGATCTCGCAACATGACACGTAACCTACACACGTAACCCCAAACACTTTTAAGAACTATTGGATGAAGTGGATAAATACTGTGAGTGGACCAATGGATTGAGGACAAAACCAAATAAATGGCACTGTCTGTATCTCGGTAGACGGAATACAAAATGTATACCTCATACGAATCGGAATTATTGTTAGGCGGTCAATGTGTTTCTACGGTTACGAAAAATGTTCCTTTTAAATTTCTCGATCGTTGTATAGATAATATAAGTCGTAATCCACCCTTAGCAGGAATAGTAGTTAGCCTTTTGAACGATCTTAACAAGATAATCAAACTATAAGTGACGTCAAAAATTGGATATACGATAATTATCTAATATCATGTTTGAATTGGCCTTTAGGATAAAGAAGGAAGGCCAAAGATACGGATATATTAAAAACTATTATACGGTAAGACGAGAATTCTAAACATAATATCCATGCAATGAGATTATAAATTAGAAAGAGTGGTTAAACATACGAGATTTTTGCATCCCGTTAACACTAAAATGGTTGAGCCTTATTCATGCTTGGTCGCCAGCACTGCTACAATTTTAACAATAAATGACCATAAACAAGCTATCAATAGATTTTGTGAGGAAAACACTAGGGTTACAAAATCAAACGTTAATCCTTACTCCATTACTGAAGAGGCTTCGGATTGTACATACTAAAATTATGAAACGCATGAGAAGCAATATTAAATCCCAGAGGACATTTGAACGTCGGCATCCAAACCAGACATATTTATGTATTCGCGAATTTTAAAGCACTTTATGATAATAGTTTGTATAAGACTTTCAAAGTTTCTAAAATGACTTGAAGTACTTGTTATTTAAAAATTTCTTACTTATTGTAACTCAGGGAAACAAAAAAAATACATTTAAACATTTACTTTGTTTCAAATTTTTAACTGATAAAAATTAAAATAAGATAACAGAAATTACTGATATGTTTTTCTATAAAAGCACAGCGCGTTATAAAATATGTTTTAAATTTAATAGATACAACAAGATGCGCGTATTTATACTGTTAGCCGCTCTTGGAGCCGTTTGTGGTAAGTTTATATAGCAAAGAAATTTTATTTCCCGACTACATTTTCGTTATTATTATTCTTTTTTGTTTTTACTTAAAAACCGCATGTTTTTTAATCCGTAAGCACCAAAAGTTTTATGATATAGAACTTGATTTCAAAAATAAACAAATTAATTAAAACCCAATTTTAAAAGAATTTTTTAAATTATTATTAGCTTGAGTTGTATGTAGGTATGTAATGGAATCTTTCAGCTCATTTTTTTCTGGTTTCTAGAAGTCTTAATAATTTGAAACTTTACATTCGTATCAAGGATCAAGAATTTGATAACAGTTATACTTATTAGAACAACTAGGATTAATGAATTCGTTTTTAGATCCTCTGTAGCGGAGTGAGAGATAAAGCTATTACGCGGTCTGCACTTGTTTGCAGTTTCTTACGCTTTCGCTTTTAAATTTAATTGGCCAAAAAAATTAAAATAAAATAATAATTTAAAAATCTAATAAAAAACACTCTTTTATAGCCAACCCAACTAAAAAATAGAAAATTATTTTCAATTACAAATACATTATTTTAATTCAGAGTAAACAGCTTGTTGTACATTTGACTGCATTTCATATCTTTCCTCACCTATATAGTTGCCACTGGAAAAATTGTAATACTTTTTTTTATTTTACAAGTAGTAGAAATAGATCTTTTCATCGTTTGATAAAATATTTATATTTATTATACATTGTTTGACAGGTACTCATTGTTCTCTGCTCACTTAATTTCATGTGACAAACCGGTATCGTGTTTATAGTTTAAACTCTTAAAAACCTTTTAGTATTTGCGGGATAAATTTAGAAAATCATTGTTTTTCACATATGTTGTGTGTTCACGAGTTGGAAAATCATCCGCGTCGTTTGTGTTAACGTTAGACCAAAAAAATGTGGTTTACCAGAGAGCACTATATTGTAACGGATAATTTGCGAACACGTATAAAGCTTCGATTCAGTATTTACTTCGGGTTCATTTTCATTAACTTAGAGAATTTCAACTTAATAACACTTCATTTTTGTAATCGAAATAAATTCATTACTGTTGGGAAATGAAATAAAAATTTGCCTAACGAAATGTTACATAAAACGAATCCATCTGGTGGCGAAACGGAGTTCTCTAGGTTTACTAGTACCTTATATTAATAGGATTAGTACTCAATACATCCATCCAAGATGATCTTTTTGTTATTTTCAAACAGAAACTTAATTAACATAAAATATCCTGCAAAATGAGTAGCATAATTTTGTATCGTATGTATTTTCGATACATTTTGTTTTCTTGTCACACCCGTTGATTATATCTCAGTCTGTTTGTTTAGTTTTGTTCGGACTGCTAGAAGATTAAAAACGATTATAGCCTTAACCTAGACGAAAATTTATTGTCTTTCAATCAAATCTTAAACAAAAATCTTTATTCTATTAACTTTTGTTAGTGCAAATATAGAGACGAATTAACAGATGAGAGAATCGTGATTCACTCATGTAACTTTAATACAAATATACACATAATATTGATGAAATCTTCAGTCTCAATTATGTTGTGGTTTTTTTATCTTATTTTATCTGTATGGATGGTAATTTATTATATTCTTACTGTATGTGTAAAATTATATTTAAAACTTTATTAATTTTGCTACCTTCAACATTACAGCGGCACCAAGGAAGCCACAACGTATTGTCGGTGGCGAAAATACTAGTATTGAAAGATATCCTTTCATGTCTGGTGTCTTAGAAAAAACTTCTTGGGGAACGGAACCGATGTGTGGTGGAACTCTTATAACCAACAGAGCTGTAGTCACAGCAGCTCATTGTGTTGAGTAAGAGATATTATATTATTTTGAATTAAGTTTTAAATATCAAAATATATGTGTACTACCAATTTCAGTGGTGGCTCAGTGGTTAAAGGGCCCGCCTCTCGTCGCTGAGGGCGCGGGTTCGATCCTGGCCCGGGCAAGTACCAATGTGATTTTTCCGAATCATATGTACTTTCTAAGAGTATTTAGACATCACTGATTAATGTTGATTCCCAAAAGAGGGTTGATGTTAGGCAGGCGGCCGGTCGTAAAAACAAATAGCCAAAAACTATTCATAACATGCAAGGCAGACCCTGGCTATAGCTGGGAATTGCCAGGTAGAAGAAGAAGATGTGTACTACCAATTTCACTTGATATAATAATACTATCAAATAATTAAATTGTAACTTAAGCTTATATTTTGTTTGTAATTAAATGCATTCTTTCAGATACATGAGCCCATACCACCTGAGAGTGCGATTGGGATCAACCTATGCTTCGTCTGGCGGACAAGTCCACGAACTTTCTAGAATTATTATGCATCCATATTATAATTATCGTTTAGTCTTAAATGACATTGCAGTAATCAGACTTAAAAACTCTGTTGTAATGTCCAATCAAATCCAAGTTGCTCGAGTTGCTGGACCACAGTACAACTTACCAGACAATACACGTTTGAATGTTATTGGTTGGGGGACTACGAGTGTAAGTATCACATCTTATCTTATATCTTTAAATTTGCAATTCTTGTATATATAATTGGAATCTCCGAATTGACCCCAACAATTTAATGAAATTTAAGTACCTATATACATATATGTATTAAATTATAGATAAATCGATCTAGTTGGGAATCATTTTTAGAAAATGTTATCTTATTAAAAAACTAATAAAAAGGAGTCGTTTAAAAAATGACCCTTCCTGACATCTATTGGCGAATAGTAATACTACATTTTGATAATTGCTTTTACTAATTACTTTAACGATACAACATCAGATGGCGTTGTTAAGTACCAGGAAGTCAAAGTATAATTGTTTTGAGGTTTGACTAAGAAATTAATTGTTGATTTATATTGTTTTGTGTCTTCTTAACGTATTCACGTAAAAATGCCTAAACAAAATAAAAATAAAAACACAAAATAACTACTAATAATTGCTAAATACCACTTAATATACTATATAAATTAATATTAGCAAGTTACGGGAAAGAAGTAGGTTATATCTGCATACTAAAACTGGTATATTCTAATGCTAGCAGGTATCGAAAGCTGACTAAAATTATTTTTCAGTTCCATGGAAAACCTTCTGAGATACTTCAGCACGTTTCTGTTAACGTCATCAACCAAAATCTTTGCGCCGAACGCTACAAATATCTACCCGGATCCATTCCAAGAGTAACTCCTGAGATGATGTGTACTGGTATTCTGGATGTCGGTGGCAAGGACGCCTGCCAGGGTGACTCCGGCGGACCTATTGTTCATGGTGGAAATGTTCTAGTAGGAATTCCTTCCTGGGGATACCAGTGCGCTCACCCTGTTTATCCAGGTGTTAATGTACGAGTTTCATCTTACGCAGATTGGATCTCAACTAATGCAGTTAATTAATTTATAATTAAGCATATACGTAATTGTAAAAATAATCCAACCAAAAATATGTTTCTATCTTTCAAACTTCATATACAGATTAGCAGACTTAGTTACTTGTACTACTATAATACTGATTTCAATCCTATTTATTATTAAAAAAAACCTAATAAATAAAAATATTGGTGTGAGATTATAATATTGTTATGAGTACATACCATGTACTTTCAACGTTATTTTGTGTGTTTATTAATATTACTATATTTATTGAAAATCGTCAAATACTATGCAATAATCAAAATTTCCTTTAAGCTCAGATTGTTGATAAAAACTTTTAATGTGATTATGATTCAGTACCTGGTTTTATTGTACTATTCTTAGCTTTATTTTTTTTGTTTTAACATGCCTTAACGGATATTTATCAAATAAAATTAATTTATTTTCATTTTTATTTTAATACAACACATAATATGAACCACAACACAATGACACTTCGAATCCTTCGCCCTTGAAATATTGCTGTTATCAATTTATATAATTTATTCAAATGCCAAAACAAAAAAAATACTTTTGCACAAATGCGGTCACATTTTGTATTTATGCATCTAACAAAATATTTCATTTTAATATTTGTAAGGAAAAATTGTTAACTAACAATCTTTATGTGATTCTGTAAAGACTGCTTATGCGTAGTTTTTATTCAGTATGCCAGTACAATCAAACGAACAAAGTTTGAATCAGGAAAACACTTCCAAAAATATTATAAAAGTATATATTTTATAATTTTTGAATATTTTGACAATAACGTTTCCATCCTAATAATTACGTTACTAGTTAAGCACGCTCCTAGTATATGATAGATAGATTAAAGTGCCATCAATTCTCAAATTGACAGTTCATATTTTGTACATTTAAACGAAAATTTTGTTTACCAAATATCGAAAGGTATAGAATTAAGCATATAATTCATTAAAAGATTCATAAGAACAGGAATTATAATTATTGATAAAAATTTATATAAGATAACACTAAATCACTGATATATAGATACAAGTCAGATGACTTGACTATAAAAGTACAGCTCAAAACACATTACTGTATTGATTGCGATAGATCAAGAAAAATGCGTGTGTTAATACTGTTAGCTATTCTTGGAGCCGTTTCTGGTAAGTGTGCTATTGTCAAGAAATTATTATTAATTCTCTTTTACATTTAACTGTGATCTTTCCTGTTGGCCAATATCGTTTCTTACAATACTACAATCAAATCAACTGCAGCCAATATGATCCTATAAGAACTATGATCAAATATTATGTAACCAAACCTAGAATGTTGCAAAATTTAAAATATCGGGAACATTAAAGAAGAAATGAACCACGCCGTCTTTTTTGCGTCCAAAAAAGACAGTGCTGACCTTCACAGTTGTCATTTTATAAGACCACATATTATGGGTCTCTGATCTTTCCTCATAGCACTGACAATTCCTTAATGATAATATATTTTAGGACAATATTCCTTTATACCCTGAAGTCCCTTCAGGGTTTCGATGCCCTAATAGCAGAATAGAATATAACCTTTGACAAATCTTTTGTACAGTCGAAGCAAGTGTCCTGACGCGAAATTTTGTCTTAGTTTACTAAGGATCCCTAGTCCTTCGCAAATTTATTTACAACTCGTTTGTAGCTTTCTCCGAAGTTGAACGTTGTAGATTATGTGTACTTCAAATAACCTAATACTCTTAAAACCTTAAGAGCAATGTTCGAAAAACTGTGAAGTACTTTAAACGTGATCTTTTTTACCACTTACTAAAGGAGTTTATACTGAACAATAACCAATTTGATGGAATGTTAAAAATATAACTATATAAATATATAGTCCTATTTATTATGAAAAAAAACTTCAATGATAGTTTGATACGATTCGCTATCTTTAAAAATAGTGAAGAGATAAAATCAAATTATATTCGTTCAAATGACTTGTGCAGCAATAGTAAATAAAAGACGTGTGATTTGACTATCGCAAAAATCGGACAAAACATTCAAAATGACCTAAATAGTCACAGTGAAAACAAATGTATTTGCCATATAATCTCAGTACAGCTTTTCGCAATGTATTTTAGAAAATGACAGCAAATTATTGTTTTTATATGGACATATTACTTAATTTGAAGTAAAGTTTTTGTAGTCAGGGCTGCGTATAAATATAAAAAAATCCAGTTTTCACGATTTATTATTTGGAAATCTAATATTTTCTATAAATTTTTCATTTAAATTAGAAATGTCTTATATTTTTTAATGTTACAGCGGCCCCAAGAAAATCACAACGTATTGTGGGTGGTGAAAACACCAATATTGAAAGATATCCTTTCATGTCTGCTATGTTACAAAATTCCTTCTGGGGATTGACTCAGATGTGTGGTGGAACTCTTATAACCAACAGAGCTGTAGTCTCAGCAGCTCACTGTTATTCGTAAGAGATATTCTATTATTTTTAATTATTAAATATGTGTCTACTACCAATTTCACTTGATATAATAATACTATCAAATAATTAACTTGTAACTTAAGCTTATATTTTGTTTCATATTAAAAATTATTTTCAGAGGAATGTCGCCATCCTCTTTGAGAGTGCGTTTGGGATCAACTTATGCTTCATCTGGAGGACAAGTTCAAGTGGTTTCTAGAATTATCATGCACCCACAATATAACTCACGCTTAATTATAAATGACGTCGCAGTAATCAGACTGCAAAACTCTGTTGGAATGTCTAATCAAATCCAAGTTGCACGAGTTGCTGGACCACAGTACAACTTACCAGACAATACACGTTTGAATGTTATTGGTTGGGGAACTACGAGGGTATGTTTTTTAAACGGTTTTTTTATTGTTCATAAGCTATGACTCCATTCACACAGATGTTGTTCAATATTTTGCAAATGCCATAGATATTTTTGATTTTAAAACATATTATATATTTGATTCAAATTAATAGCTAAAATAACGGCTATAAATGCTTTTCACTTATGTAAGACTTTTATACAAAAGTATAAGGCTTTTTCCTGGGTTGTTTTAGTATGTAATTAATTTAGGGGGTTCCTTCAAAGGAATTATGAACTTTAGAGACATAGAACTTACAAGTAAGGTGGATGTTAAAATCGAAGAATCAAACTATAATAATAGTTCATGTTAAAATTATGTCGAAACGAAACAAATATTCAAAATTTCCTTAATATTTATAGCAATTTTAAACCCCAAATGAGTAAGTTATTGCAACTATAGTCATTTCAAGTCGAACCTGCTACAATAGTTTTATGTTTGAATACCTATTATAAAAAAAAATATTTATTCAAGAAACTCGTGTATTCAGACCAAGCACTGTGCAATGTGCAAGCAATCATTTGGTTATGTTATGGAACTGTAATATTGTAATGAATCTCCTCATTAATGTAATCACCTTTGTATTAAATTTTAATATGACATTATTTTATTCAGTACCAAGGACGACCTTCTGAAATCCTTCAACACGTTTCCGTAAACGTCATCAACCAAAGACTTTGTGCCGAACGCTACCGACACCTTCAAAGTTTACCTGGAATGGGATCCTGGCCAAGCATAACTAATGAGATGATGTGTGCCGGTATTCTGGATGTCGGTGGCAAAGACGCCTGCCAGGGCGACTCCGGCGGACCTGTTATTCATGGTGGAAACGTACTTGTAGGCATTACTTCCTGGGGATACGAATGCGCTCACCCAACTTATCCGGGAGTTAATGTACGAGTTTCATCTTACGCCAATTGGATCTCGACTAATGCAGTTAATTAATTTTACACCTCAATAACAATACAATAAAATATACTTTTGGTATTTATTTCTATCGTTCATTCTATTATTTTCACTCTATTCTCTATTCTATTTGATGTACAGATGAATTCTACATATTAATTAAAATAAAAATGGAAAAACTGATTAACAGACTTTTATTGTTGCAGTTAATTCAAAACCTATACTTAAAAAAAAACTTAATAAAGAGAGATATTGGTATAAGAACATTGTGGTATGAGTACACACCACGTACTTTGAATTTTTGTTATTTTTTAATTATTTTGGTATGTTTATAAATATAACTACATATATGAAAATAGTGAAATACTATGCAAAAGTTATCATTTCTCTTAAGCTCAGATTGTTTATAAAAGATTTAATACCTGGTTTTATTGGACTATTTATACCTTTAATTTTTTTTCAATGTACTGTAACGTATAGGTATTTTTCAAACACATTTAATTAATTTTAATCTCACCAAAAACATGCCTGTTAAAAAGGGGGCCAAGTTCCAATCGGCTAATTGTTTGCCTAAAAAAGGGGTGAAATCCAATCTAATGCCAAGTTTAGATGCACTTTGAAATCGATCATAATCATCTTCATCAACAGCATGATCCACTGGTAAACATTTGCCATTCCCAAGACTCGCCACCACACCCAGTCCTCTGCCTTCCACATCCAGCCACTACCCGCCACCTTATTCACATTAACGGTCCATCTGGCCGAAAATCACTTTACCATACACCCAACTTAAAATATGGTATAGTTGTGAAAATACGTAGGTGCTTGGTTAAAAATATCTAAAATTATAATACTTCTAAATTTGAACTTGGCAGGTTTTTGTGCTGTACGTAACACTTAATTAATTGTATCATTAATTTATTATTTAGTTATTTATATTTATATAATTTAAATATTATATAATTTAAATAATTAAATTAACCTGTATAAGATAACCTGTATAACCTTAAGAACTGATATATATATCAGTTCTTAAGAAGCGCCCCACACTTTTTTCACAATAATATTAATTTAAAAATAAATTAACAAACAATAAATGGTATTTTTGTGAAAAAAAGCGTGATGAGCTTCATATATCACTTCTTGAGAAGCGCCCAACGCTTTTTTTTCAATAATACCATTTATTGTTTATTTTAAACAATTTAAATGAAATTGATTTCCAAGGTTGTAAAGGTTAAATTAGTTTCCACGCGGTTTCTTTCATCATTGGAGCGTGTTTTATAGTTTTTTTTAAACTATATTTATTTTTTATTTTTTAGTTTCATTTATCTCCGATTGATAGATGTACTCATATTATTAATTATTAATATTTCATTATTATGTATTTTATTGTGCTGAGCTGAGCGCCTATATAAAGGTTTTGATTACCTGTCAGTGAGTCAGTGCCAAAATTAGCTATTTTCACAGGGTCATATTTCAGGATCTACTGAAGCTTTATCTATAAAATTTGGCATACTGCTTTAGGACTAGTATATGATTACGTAGGTACAATTTTATCTCTGTACTTGCAATAGACACTGAGCTACAGGGGGTCAAAAGTGGGTCGAATTAATTAAAAAATCGATATTTAGAATTGTGTCAACTCACGCTTGACCGATTTCTTAAATTTCTTAATTTTTTGTTAATCTACATGTAACACACAACCTGTGTACCAAATTTCATAATGCTAAAACAATGGGAAGTGGCCTAGAGGTTTTGATTACCTGTCAGTGAGTCAGTGCCAAAATTAGCTATTTTCATAGGGTCATATTTCAGGATCTACTGAAGCTTTATCTATGAAATTTGTCATACTGCTTTAGTACTAGTATATGATTACGTAGGTAAAATTTTATCTCTGTACTTGTAATAGGCACTGAGCTACAGGGGGGTCAAAAGTGGGTCGAATTTATTAAAAATTCGATATTTAGAATTGAGGCAACTCACGCTTGACCGATTTCTTAAATTTCTTAATTTTTTGTTAATCTACATATAACACACAACCTGTGTACCAAATTTCATAATGCTAAAACAATGGGAAGTGGCCTAGAGGTTTTGATTACCTGTCAGTGAGTCAGTGCCAAAATTAGCTATTTTCATAGGGTCATATTTCAGGATTTACTGAAGCTTTATCTATGAAATTTGGCATACTGCTTCAGTACTAGTATATGATTACGTAGGTAAAATTTTATCTCTGTACTTGCAATAGGCACTGAGCTACAGGGGGGTCAAAAGTGGGTCAAAACGGTTTGTGTAAATATAGTGCACGGCATGCGCCGGCCTGTGGAACTTGGCCGGCGCACTACCGTGCGCTTAGATATCACAACATAATATAATATAAACAGCAATCTTACAACACTTCAAGTTTTAGCCCTTGAAATATTTCCGTTATTTTTCAAATTCTTAACAAATAATCTTTATGTAATTCTGGGAAGACTGCTAATACGTTGTTATTTTCCAATATGCCAGTACAATCAAAAGAACAAAGTTTGAATTAGGAAAACGCCATCAAAAATATTGTAAGAACATTTATAAATAGTTTCCCAACAACTTTAAAATTCTGATGATAACGTTACTAGTTAAGCATGCTCCAAATATATGATAGATGGATTAAGACGCCATAAATTTTTAAAATCACAGTTATTTTTTATGCATTTGAGTATTTTGTTTAATAAATATCGAAAGGTAAGGAATTAAGCATCGAATTCATTAAAAGCTCCATATAAACAGGAAGTATAATTATTGATAAAAACGAATATAAGATAAAACTAAATCACTGATATGTTTGGCTAGACTATAAAAGAACAGTTCAAAACACATTAGTATTATTGTACTGTATTGGTTGCGATAGATCAAGAAAAATGCGTGTGTTAATACTGTTGGCTATTCTTGGAGCCGTTTCCGGTAAGTGTACTTAATTACTTATTGTCAAGAAAATGATATTATAATTCACTATTACTTTTTATGTAGCCGTCATATTGGACGATGGTTTCCTACATCACTATAATTTAATCAATTCAAACTAATGTGATCCTATAAGAACTAATATCAATTATAATTTAACCAAAACAAGAATGCTACAAAATTTAAAATATCTGAAATATTAAAGAAGAAATAACCACGCTGCCTTTTTGTGTCCGAGTTTTAAGTTACTTTGGACACAAAAATGGCAACCTACATATACATTTGACGTCTTCAAGGATCCCATATTCTGGCTCTCTGAACTTTTCTCATTGCACTGATGATTCTCTATTGAAAATATATTTTGGGACAATATTCCTTTAGGAACTTTACACTCTTTATTACCCTTGATGAATATTTTGTACCTTCAATAGAAGCAAGTGTCCTTACGTGAAATATTGTCTTACCTTACTAAATATCCCAAGTCTTTAGAAGACTTATTTACAACTCGTTGGTAGCTTTCTCCGAAGTTGAACGTTGTAGATAATGTGTACTTCAATAACCTCAAGAGCAATGTTTTGAATACTGTGAAATACTTTAAACGTGATCTTTTTTACCACTTACGCACTAGCCAATTTGATAGAATGTTATAAATATAACTATATAAATATATGTATGGTCCTACTTATTACGAAAAAAAACTTCAATGATGGTTTGAAACGATTCGCTATCTTTAAAACTAGTGAATAGATACTATAAAATTATATTCGTTCAAATGACCTGTGTAGCATGAGTAAATAAAAGACGTGATTTGACTACCTCAAAATACACAAAAAAAAAATATTCAAAATGTCCTTAATGCCCCCAGTGAAAACAAATTTATTTGCCATATCATATTATTACAGCTTTTCGCAAATCCATTTTAGGAAAGTAGTGGAATTTTATCTAATATTTTCTGTAAACAACCGATTTAAATTAAAATTGACTAACATTTCTAAATATTACAGCGAACCCAAGAAAAGTAGTACGTATTGTGGGTGGCAAAGACACCACTATTGAAAGATATCCTTTCATGTCTGCTATGTTAGAAAATTCCTTCTGGGGACTGAGGCAAATATGTGGTGGCAGTGTTATAACCAACAGAGCTATAGTTTCAGCAGCTCACTGTTTTGGGTAAAAGATTTTTTTGCGTTATTATATCATTTTCAATTAATTAGTCAATAACAAGATACATACAACTAAGTTTGATTGACATTGTATTACTATTTATTACCAAATATATAATTAACTTGTGACTTAAGCTTACATTTCGTTTCTCATTGAATATATTCTTTCAGACGCGTTACGCCATTCACTTTAAGAGTGCGTTTGGGATCAACTTATGCTTCGTCTGGCGGACAAGTCCAAGAGGTTTCTAGAATTATCATGCACCCACAATATAACTCACGCTTACTTGTACATGACGTCGCAGTAATCAGACTTCAAAACTCTGTTGTAATGTCCAATCAAATCCAAGTTGCACGAATTGCTGGACCACAGTACACCTTACCAGACAATACACGTTTGGATGTTATTGGTTGGGGGGATACCAGTGTAAGTATCATATCTTATATTCATTAAAATTAGTGACAGAAGTTACAAGAATTTAGCTGGTTATATCTGTATACTAAAACTAGCTACTATCGAAAGCTGAGTTTCATTTTTTTTCAGTACAAGGGACGACCTTCTGAAATACTTCAGCACGTTTCCGTTAATATCATCAACCAAAGGATTTGTACCGAACGCTACGAACACCTCAGAACTTTACCTGGGAAGGAAAACCACCCAGGTGTTACTCCTGAAATGATATGTACCGGTATTCTGGACATCGGTGGCAAGGACGCCTGCGAGGGCGACTCCGGCGGACCTGTTGTTCATGGTGGAAATGTTCTAGTAGGAATTACTTCCTGGGGACACGAATGCGCTCATCCAGTTTATCCGGGAGTTAATGTACGCGTTTCATCTTACGCAGATTGGATCTCGACCAATGCAGTTAATTAATTTTACATTTTCAATTATATTTCCCATAAGTGAAGAACTAAATGTTTATCTTTTCTTCAATTATATCCGTCTGCAATTTTGTAAATTAATATGTAAAAATAAATACCGAATATCAAAAACCTAATTATCAGATTATTTTACAAAAATTCTTAACTAAAGATAGGGAAATCCCATAGCAAATTTTCATACAATGAGTCACATGTCCACTGATGATAAGATCATATAATTAAATTACCAATACAATTTATTAATTTACAAAAAGTGCTTTAAAATAAAATTTATGTTTTTTTTGTCTAAATAGTCCAAAAAACAAAAATATATTATTTCACATCAACTTGTATGTACATTGTACTCTTTCTTTACTTCTTTTTTAAAGTAACGATTTCTTTTGTTTATTAATAGGTAGCAGTACAGTTTACTTATTAGTTTAGTTTACATGATAACATTAATTTAGGGATGAACACATGTTATTAATTTGAATATCATAACGTAACGAAACTTTATCTTTAACACGTTCATGCAAAAAAATTGATAATTAAAAATACAGTAGAAATACATAGTCTGCCCATAAATACTGTTACAATTAAAAATAAACAAAATATTACATGTGAATTTGGAATCTGCCATTTTTATATAATTTTTAATTGTGTTTTCTTATCTTGGCGCCAATACATTGTTCAATATTTTTCGATATTAAAATGCAGTCGGGTGATAAAGAGAACCGAATCGCTGTGATTGCATTACACAAAGTGGGCGTGGAGTCAAATGCAATTTTTAAACTCTCCACACGCTTGGCATTAGTCAAATGTTTGTGTACCGGGCTATTAATAGGTACAATGAGACCTCCTCTGTTTGTTTCTGTCCCTGTTGTCCACGTAGTGCTCCTACGAAACAGGTGGTCAAAGCATTAAGGGAAAGAATTCGAAGAAATCCTATCCGAAAGAAATAGATTTTATCTCGGGAGATGAGGTTAACACCTAGAACCGTGTCAGTAGTTTTTTTTGTTAGTAGTTTTACGTGGGGCATAGTGTTAAGTTTCCAATGTATTTAAATTCTCGATCGTGAACAAAACTGCGGATACATTATATTCCTACATCGAGTTCTGTTCCAAGACCTACGGTCCGTCTTCTCGACGCGACCTGTTGTGAGACTAATGTTATCTACCAGTCATGTTCACACGCAAGTAATTGTTAAAACCAAATTTTAAAACATAATTGACATTTTCTTTTATATATTGCCTTTATGCAATCAGACGAGTATAATTTTAAGTAGGGGAGGTTGGGGCTGAAAGTTCCCGGGGTGCGTTGTTCCAACAGTAATAACTTTTGAAAGAAAAGACGTAGTAAATATAAGTGAAGTGCGTCGTTCAATCATCAATTGACACGCTGCTTTGGCGGTCGTATTAGTTTCTCCGACGACGGCGAAAGAGTGGCTGTATGGACTGTGCTGCTAAAACACCACTGAGTAAATTTTTTCGTATTTAAACTTTTTGGTTTATTTTTCTTTATTATTGACCGATTTACGTGCATCTTATCAAATATAGAGTAGCACTAGTTTGGTTTCATATGGCTTCAATGTTTTTTCAATGTAAGTTGTTAATTTGCTAGCATAACAGTTTTTATACATGAATATAATTTGGGGCTACAAGTTCCTTCCCAAAGGAGCTGGTTGTTCAGAGGAACAACTTACCCCATTCGATCCTTAAATTATATTTACATTTTTACGGTATACTTTTAGTTTTTTTAGCACCTACATATTCTCAATCTGAATCAAATGAACCTTCTAGCAGTTCAGTTGAGATTGAAATGGTTGACCAGCCAGGACAATTCAATATTCAAATATCTATTATCATATACATCAAAAACGGGTCAGATTGATGAACCATGTCAACAATCTGGAACAGATCAGGGGGATGTATCTCAGGCTGCCTTTGCGATCATTACTAGTGCCCAAGAACTTAATTTAGCACCAACAAAGACTAATTTTTTAGTAGTGTTTAATCCTGAAATTGTAAAGCTTTTGCCAAAGGCCCCCAAGATTGCAGACTTTTACAAAACGTCGTATAAGAAAAACTGCTGTTTTGACTGACATGCCAGAAAAAAATATGTTAGCTGAAGAACAGGTAAAGAAGAAAACAAGAAAAGACGAAGCTATTAGAAACAAGGGAAAGAAAAACAACAATAATAAGGAAAAGGTAAAGGCAAGGAAAAAGGAAAAGCTCAAAAAAGAGCTAAACGAAGAGTGTTACAACAAAGCTAGAGTGATAGTGCTGATGGGGGTTTAGAATATTACTACATAATTTGTTGTGACTCATATTCCATTTCCCTTCCCAGGAAACAGTGGATACAATGTAGCATGTGTAAAAATTGGGCACATGTTCAATGTATAAATGAAACTGATGATATTACTTATATTTTGTTGTCCTTGTTTTAAGTTTTGGAAGTGCCCCATATTGATTAGGAATAAAAAGAGTTTATATTGAGTATTCTTTCGAGTAGGTAAGATTTTTTTGTATCCTTAAGAATGTAGCTTATGAGATTTATAATCTAATACTTTATTTCCTGTTAATACATACATAATACATACATACCAAAATTTTATTATGATGTCGCTATTAATGTTTTTCGTTAATTTTTAAAGTTTATAGAATTGCATAACATAAATTATTGTTTTATTTATAAGAAACCACACATTATCGTTATACTTTATTTATTTTCTCCAAGAGGCACAATTTGCCCCACAGATGGAACAACTCGCCACAAAGTGGGGTCGAAAGTTCCTTTCCGGAATTTTGTGAAATAATGCCTGTACAAAAAAAAAATAATATTGAGAAACTATCAGAAATGCCTTTACTATAACAAAGAGCGATTAAGAATTTTTAATGAAATCAATTATCTAATTTAAAATCTTATCATTTTCATGATAAAATTTTATAATATTTGTAAATCGGAACTTTCAGCCCCGGTCTCCCCTACTATTTTATACATCTTTATTACCTGTAACCTATGCCAAGATAATCACAACCAAAACTCTATAGTCGTTGGTTGTTCTTACCTGTATAGGAGATATGTACAAAGAAACTTTAATCTTTTATAAAATTACGAAAGTCTGGCGGTCGCGTCGGGGGCTCTTGCTCTAAAAGGTATAGAATTAAGAATATAAATAATTGAAAGCTTCATATAAACAGGATATATAATTATTGATAAAAACGAATATAAGATAAAACTAAATCACTGATACGTGTTTGGCTAGACTATAAAAGTACAGCTCAAAACACATTAGTATTATACTGTATTGGTTGCGATAGATCAAGAAAAATGCGTGTGTTAATACTGTTGGCTATTCTTGGAGCCGTTTCCGGTAAGTGTACTTAATTACTTATTGTCAAGAAAATAATATAATTCACTATTACATTTTATGTAGCTGTGATATTGGACGATGTGGTTTGCTACATCACTATAATTTAATCAACTCAAGCTAATGTGATCCTACAAGAAAAAATATCAATTATGATTTAACCAAGAGTGCACAGAATTCAAAATAACTGAAACATTAAAGAAGAAATAACCACGCTGCCTTTTAGTGTCCAAGTTTTAAGTCAGGTACCTTGGACATAAAAATGGCAACTTATACATTTGACGTCTTAAAGGATCCAAATATTCTAGCTCTCTGAACTTATCTCATTGCACTGATATTTCTCTATTGAAAATACATTTTAGGATAATATTCCTTTAGGGACTTCAGGATGTCGGCAGCAGAATAGAATAACACTCTTTATGACCCATGATGAATATTTCGTACCTACAGTAGAAGCAAGTGTCCTTACGTGAAATATTGTCTTACTTTACTAAATATCCCAAGTCTTTCGAAGACTTATTTACAACTCGTTTGTAGCTTTCTCCGAAGTTGAACGTTGTAGATTATGTGTATTTCAAATAACCTAATACTCTTTAAACCTCAAGAGCAATGTTCGGAAAACTATGAAGTACTTTAAACGTGGTCTTTTTTACCACTTACCAAAGATTGCGTTGTCGAGGTGTTTATACTGAACACAGTGAAAACACATTTGCCATAGTGGGACAGCTTTTCCCAAATGCACTTTGGAAAAGTAGAGTCAATTTTGTTTATTGTAGGGACATAATACTTTATTTGAAGTAAAGTTTTTGGTGCCATTCGAATGGTAAACATTCGAATAAAATTAAAATTGATTTAAATTTTTGAATGTTACAGCGGCCCCAAGAAAATCAGGACGTATTGTGGGTGGTGAAAACACTAATATTGAAAGATTTCCTTTCATGGCTGCTATGTTGGAAAATATCTTCTGGGTAGTGAGGCCTATATGTGGTGGCACTCTTATAACCAACAGAGCTGTAGTCTCAGCAGCTCACTGTTTTGTGTAAGAGATACCTATTATATATATAACAAGATACATACAACTAAGTTTGATTGACATTGCATTACTTTCAAATAATTAACTTGTGTTTTAAGTTTACATTTGGTTACTCATAAAATATATATTTTTAGAGACTATGAGCCATCCTGGCTGAAAGTGAGATTGGGATCAACTTATGCTTCGTCTGGCGGACAAGTCTATGAGGTTTCTAGACTTATCATGCATCCTCAATTTGACACACTCTTACTTATTCATGATATTGCAGTAATCAGACTTCAAAACTCTGTTGTAATGTCCAATCAAATCCAAGCTGCACGAATTGCTGGACCACAGTACATCTTACCAGACAATACACGTTTGGATGTTATTGGTTGGGGGCAGACCAGTGTAAGTATCATATATTAATTAAAATTAGTGAGAGAAGTTACGAGAATTAAGCTGGTTATACCTGTATACTAAAACTATGTAGCCACTATCGAAAGCTGAGTTTCATTTTTTTTTTCAGTATAATGGACAACGTTCCGAAATACTTCAGCACGTTTCCGTTAATACCATCAACCAAAGAATTTGTACCGAACGCTACGAACACCTTAGGACTTTACCTGGTAAAGAAAACCACCCAGGTGTAACTCCTGAGATGATGTGTTCCGGTATTCTGGATGTTGGTGGCAAAGACGCCTGCAAGGGTGACTCCGGTGGACCTGTTATTCATGGCGGAAATGTTCTAGTAGGAATTACTTCCTTTGGCCACGAATGCGCTCATCCAGTTTATCCAGGTGTTAATGTACGCGTTTCATCTTACACAGAATGGATCTCGACCAATGCAGTTAATTAATCTTAATTTTTTTGTTATAATTGCCTTAAATAATGTACTAAATATATATATTTCCATTTATTTATTTTTTTCTTTAATAATGTCCGTAAGCAATTTTGTAAATAAATGTGTTAAAATATCTACCAATTATCACAAACCTCACTATCAGTTTAATTTTCAAAGATTCTTAACTAAAGATAGGGAAATCCCATAGCAATTTTTTTTACACAATGAGTCACATGTCCACTGATGATAAGATCATAATATGTTTAATTAAATTACCAACACAATTTATTAATTTAAAAAACGTGCTTTAAAATAACATTTGTTGTTTTTTTGGTCTAAATAGCCCAAATAAAAATATGTATACATATTATTTCACATCAACTTGTATGGTAGATCATATTGTATGTACTCTTCCTTTACTTTCTTTTTAAAATAACGATTACTTTTGTCTATTAATAGCAGTACAGTTTATTATGACATTTATTTAGAGATGAATGTCATTAATTTGAATATCGTAACGTAACGAATCTGTATCCTTAACACGTTCATGCAAGAAATAGATAATTAAAAATACATATATATCCTTTATTGCACAAAAAAATGAGACAGAAAATAACATAATAGAAAAGAAAACATACAAAGGCGGACTTATCTCTAAAAGAGATCTCTTCCAGTCAACCTATGGAGGTGAGTGATAAGAGTCATACAGAGGGCGATTTAGTGCAGACTTCTCTTTATATACTTACATACATTATAAAATAATATTTATACATTAGAAATACATCCGTCTGTCTGTCTATGTCAGTTACAAGAAACTACTTTTTTTAGTCTTATTTAAATTCCTGAAGGTCACTTAAACTACTTAAGATTTATATTTAAGTTAGTAAAATACATTAAGTTTTATAAATAAATCATTTTTTCCATCAGTGTTTATTATAATGTTTTGACGATCAATGTACCTTCCGCAATCCTTCAATAGTTTCAAATTAATCTTAATTTGTTTTTTCTTTATCTTCGTAGAACGATAGTTAAAGGTCCATTCCTGATAATTGTAATAAGTTTAATATTATAATGTTGTAAGTGTTCGAGATAGTTTCAGATTTGTTTTTCATTGTTCGCCGTTACTTCCACTAATGTCTTACAAAAGGGCTAAAGCCGGTATTAATAGTTTTTTCAAGTAAAGGTTAAAGTAAGGTTCACTTAAATGTTGCTGTTACAAAATTACAATGTCTCACTATTATAATGAAACATATTCAGTCTTAAAAATTATTTTAAAGATTATACATAATTAGTGGAGCACGGAGAGTGAAACTTGTAACACTGGTGCTAATAAGAACTTAAAAATAATATCAGATCAATGTTGGCTTGAATCATTAAATATTTAAAAACGACTTAATATATTATACTTGTGTTGATATTTTTGGAAGAATATACATAATAAGTACGTGAAAAACAAAAAACAATAATGATATTTAGATACAATTTTTTTTAGCTCTCGTGGGAGAGCTCTCGTGTTTAGACCATGTTTTACATGCTGCAGCTCTCTAGAGGCCTCTAGCGTCTAGCTAGACGGTCAGTATTACAAAGGTGGCTCTCTATAACAAAGAATTGCCAACGCTAGAGCTAACTGGATAGAATGACGGCGTCAGTTACCTATCTTTCCATATATGTGTGTTTCCTATAAATAGCATGTCCCAAAGTATTGTCAGAATGAGTAGTTTAAAATAATAAAAAATGAGTAGTACATCGCAAATATTACTTTTCTTTATGTAAAAAAGCAAGTTCTGATGCCAATGTTAATTTGTGTACCAAGAGAGTATTGGTTGGTTATAAATTAGAATGCCAACCAAATCATTAAAAAATATAGTTTTCTTATAAAGCTAGTAATTTTAAATAACTAATATAGCCTTAAATAGATTATACAAATTATTATCTTAAACCAAAATACCTTATGCCGGCCGTACACGTTACGGTCTACCGGATGGTCCTATTAAAAAGACATCGCTATAACACCACTTCTGGTGCATACGGGAATATACAGGTTTGCTTGAAAATAAATGTGTGTTCCCTAAATCGACTTATCCTGATGAAGCGTCGTCCTCTGCGCTGATCTAGTTATGGTTAGTTGAAAGTGAAGCTATACTGCTCTGGAGGGTCGCCACTATGTCCAGCTGTGTTGTTACTTGTTTGGAGGGAAGATGATGATGACTCCAAGTTACCCGGTAATATGTACCATCTTAAACTATGGTGGTTAATTGGAATTTATTTATTTATTACACAAAATATTATTTATAAAACGTTATAAAGATATTATAAGCATTAAAAAAATATATAATACTTATACATTTATATAAAAAACTTTCGAGTAATGTGGCGTTGAATTGTAGAAATGTACTGGTCCAAAATCACACCTTTGTACATGAGTTAACTTTGATGTCTTTTAATATATATTATGGCTTACAAAAAATAAATAAAAAAATATATAAAAAAAGCTTTTTAATGAGATTATATTAATTAATTAGTTTTACTCCATAACAACGACCTTCATGTTTTGGGGTTTTGAGACGGCGTGTATGGGGCTTTCCCACTGTCGTCGTTGGCTATCGCTCGAAAAGGTGTAGAATTAAGACTATAATTAATTAAAAGCTATATATAAACAGGATATATAATTATTGATAAAAACGAATATAAGATAAAACTAAATCACTGATACGTGTTTGGCTAGACTATAAAAGTACAGCTCAAAACACATTAGTATTATACTGTATTGGTTGCGATAGATCAAGAAAAATGCGTGTGTTAATACTGTTGGCTATTCTTGGAGCCGTTTCTGGTAAGTGTACTTAATTACTTATAGTCTAGAAAATAATAATATAATTCACTATTACTTTTTATGTAGCTGTCATATTGGACGATGGTTTCCTACATCACTATAATTTAATCAATTCAAACTAATGTGATCCTATAAGAACTAATATCAATTATAATTTAATCAAAACAAGAGTGCTGCAGAATTTAAAATAACTGAAACATTAAAGAAGAAATAACCACGCTGCCATTTTGTGTCCAAGTTTTAGGTTACTTTGGACACAAAAATGGCAACCTACATATACATTTGACGTCTTAAAGGATCCCATATTCTGGCTCTCTGAACTTTTCTAATTGCACTGATGATTCTCTATTGAAAATATATTTTGGGACAATATTCCTTTAGGAACTTCAAGATATGGACCACCAGATAGACTAACACTCTTTATTACCCTTGATGAATATTTTGTACCTCCTGTAGAAGCAAGTGTCCTTACGTGAAATATTGTCTTACCTTACTAATTATCCCTAGTCTTTAACCTTAAACCTCCAGAGCAATGTTCGGAAAACTGTGAAGTACTTTAAACGTGGTCTTTTTTACCACTTACCAAAGATTGCGTCGTCGAGGTGTTTATACTGAACACAGTGAAAACACATTTATTTGCCATATCATAGTAGGACAGCTTTTCCCAAATGCATTTTGGAAAAGTAGAGCCAATTTTGTTTATTGTAGGGACATAATATTTAATTTGAAGTATAGTTTTCTGTGCCATTCGAATGGTAAAGATTCGATTTAAATTAAAATTTACTTAAATTTTTGAATGTTACAGCGGCCCCAAGAAAATCAGGTCGTATTGTGGGTGGTGAAAGCACCACTATTGAAAGATATCCTTTCATGTCTGTTATGCTAGAAAATAACTTCTGGGGATTGAGGCATATATGTGGTGGCAGTCTTATAACCAACAGAGCTGTAGTGTCAGCAGCTCACTGTTTTGGGTAAAAGATTTTTTTTTAAAGATATTATATTATTTTCAATTAATTAGTCAATAACGAGATACATACAACTAAATTTGATTGACATTGTATTACTATCAAATATGTTATTAACTTGTGATTTAAGCTAACATTTCGTTTCTCATTGAATATATTCTTTCAGACGCGTTACGCCATCCACTTTAAGAGTGCGTTTGGGATCAACTTATGCTTCGTCTGGCGGACAAGTCCAAGAGGTTTCTAGAATTATCATGCACCCACAATATAACTCACGCTTACTTATACATGACGTCGCAGTTGTCAGACTTCAAAACTCTGTTGTAATGTCCAATCAAATCCAAGTTGCACGAATTGCTGGACCACAGTACACCTTACCAGACAATACACGTTTGGATGTTATTGGTTGGGGGCAGACTAGTGTAAGTATCATATATTAATTAAAATTAGTGACAGAAGTTACAAGAATTAAGCTGGTTATATCTGTATTCTAAAACTAGCTACTATCGAAAGCTGAGTTTCTTTTTTTTTTTCAGTACAAGGGACAAACTTCCGAAATACTTCAGCACGTTTCCGTTAATATCATCAACCATAGACTTTGCATCGACCGCTACGAATACCTCAGATCTTTACCCGGTATGGGAGCCTGGCCAAGTGTAACTCCTGAGATGATGTGTACTGGTATTCTGGATGTTGGTGGCAAGGACGCCTGCGAAGGTGACTCCGGAGGACCTGTTATTCATGGTGGAAATGTTCTAGTAGGAATTACTTCCTGGGGATTCGAGTGTGCTCATCGAACTTATCCGGGTGTTAATGTACGCGTTTCATCTTACACAGATTGGATCTCGACCAATGCAGTTAATTAATAGTACATTTTCTATTATAATTCCCATAAATGATGAACTAAATATATAATTTTATATTTATTTATTTTTTTCTTTAATAATGTCCGTAAGGAATTTAAAAAAAATGTGTAAAAATAATTGCCGATTATCAAAAACCTCACTATCAGTTTATTTTTCAAAGATTCTTAACAAAAGATTGGGAAATCCCATAGCAATTTTTTACACAATGAGTCACATGTCCACTGATGATAAGATCATGTAATTAAATTATCAACACGATTTATTAATTTACAAAAACGTGCTTTAAAATAACATTTGTTTGCTTTTTAATACAAATATATATTATTTCACGTCAACTTGTACACAGTACTCTTCCTTTTCCCGCAAAGGGTTTTAAAATAACGATTACTTATGTTTATAAACAACAGTACAGTTCATTTAGAGATTAACATTTATTATTAATTTGTATGTCAAAACATTTAAAAAATCTTTATCCTTATCACGTACAAGCAAAACATAAAAGATAATTAAAACACACCGTAGAAATAATATACGTATTTCTGTTTATATCAGGAACAGGAAACGGGTTTTTTTAACAAAAATTATTTTCGTGATAAATGGAAAGATCATATATAAGTTTTGTAATAAGGCAGTTTTAGTTTATTTTCCGATACAATTAAAAAGTTATATCAAATTAAAAATAAATTATAGAATCCAGTACCGAAAACACGGCGACATTACCCGAGCAAACCAGAGCGCGTGTGACGATACAATGTTAATTTCTTGTTGTGTTTTGACGTTTAACCGATAATATATCGTTGTTATCATCAATATATCGATAAATATATAAAAAATGTCGAACCCTAAAAGTTACCGTGCTTGCTTCGTACCGCTATGTACGAATACCACAAAAATAATCCTGGAAATATATTTTTATATATTTATTAGCGTGTTAAACGTCGTAATCAAAGATTCCAAGCAGTGCGACGACCTAATCTCAAAACAACACTTTTATTGTGAAAATCATTTTGATGTAAGTACTTATTTTAAAATAATAAAGCAATCAACGATTATTTATGGAAATGAATAAATTGAATAACAATTTTTTTTCAAATAAACTCCAAATCGAAACTTTAAAGTCATAGCATAAAAAATCTATTTCAAATTTACTCGAAATCGATAAATCCTTTATTACACATGACCAAATTGACTTACTTAATTACTTCATATTATTTTTTTTACAAAAAATTTAGGATATTTTCAGTAGAAACTGTTGAAATTTTAAAGTCAAGCTTGGTGAAAAATCGTGGCGCGTTCTTCACGTTACGTCAAGTCACGTGGTTGTTTTATACATTTTATGAATTTTTAATTGTCGATAATTAATTGAAAAAAAAATGTTTTTATTATATCAATTATAAATATAATATATTTTAATGTATGCCACTTCTGAATTTAGGATTCTTACAAAATCATTATAAAAATATAGTTTTATTAAAGCCAGTAATTTCAAATAACTAATAAAACTTTAACTAGGTATCTTATTATAATCTTATTATTATCTTAAGTCAAAATACCATTAAAAGTTAAATTTAATTTACAAGACAAAAGTCGCCTCGAGCAAACACTTTCCCAAGTAAAAGTGAACAAACCAAAAGTCATCTCTTTAACATCACTTCTGATGCGTTCGGGAAATTAAAGGTTCGGTTGAAACTAAATGTGTGTCCCCTAAATACATATAAATACAAAAATATTGAGACTATCATGTCAACTGCCACAAATAAAAATACACAACAGTTTGAAATAAAAATATAATATTTATTTGTAAAATTATAATAAAAAGGATCAATCTAATCATGGATAAACCAAAGTGATTTTATTTAAAATAATTAAAATTCAATATAGCAAAATATATAATCTTTGGTTAGTTGTTTGACGTCCAAGGATGACATGTTGTAAAAACAGTTTCAAACAAGTTTATCTTCAGATATTAAAAGAAATGATATAGTTTTACAGTGATGGTTCAATTGAACAATGTTGAACATATTTAGGTAAATGTAAAAAAAAATCTGAAATCTGTCAGATGCATACCTATACTATTAATATGTAATTGAAAAAAGCGGACTACATATTTTTTGCTAAAAAATCCTTTATTTATAATTTTCCTTAAAACAAATAATACCTACATCGAAATATTACGAGCCGTACTATTTTCAAAGAAATTTTTACCTAAAAGGGGCTTCTAAGATTTTTATTGATAAACAAAAACTTATTTTTAGTTGTTGAAGGACTTCAAAATAGACCTGACTTCTAGTCAGGTCTGCATTTCTATATAAGGCATTAAATTGAACGGCATCTGACAGGTGTTCACAAGCTTATCGTGAGCAAAATTCCTATTATTACACATCAAAACTTCAGAATATAGGACGTTATTAATATTTATGAAAATAAAACAAAACTATGTCTGAAATCAATCGTTAGGATTGCCAATCCCATTTATAAACGAGGCTATTTTTACTTTAATTCCTATTCCTCAAATACACAATTTAAATGGCAATATCAATCACAAAATATTAAGAAGAACGGGGTTTAACCGATGCTTGTAAGTGAAACTAAACTATAAATGAAATTGAATCAAAAAGCAATCCTCATTAACATTACATATATGTAAATAAAAATTGTATTTAAATGTTTATATTACTCTTCAAAAAAGTAATATCTGACGTGTTTGGAGCAGGGATCAAAGTATTCGTCGTGAGGCAGATCAAGAGCGGAAAGAGCTGAACCGAAATAGTGTCTTGTGAAATGAAGAGCATCGTGAGGTTTTATCAGGAGTAGTGCTTGGAGGTAGTCTTTAATAACTCCCGTTAGTTCGCTCGTTTCAGACACGTACTTAGCACCTTCTGATGACCGCTTGCTCTGTTTAAGGATATATATAATTACAATTCTTGCAAAAAACTTACCTATATGTAAATTCTCCTTCATTTTAACTGATTATAGCGTACAAAATTGAATCAATAAATTTTTAGCTAGCCACAAAGCTGAGATTGAAAGGTTAGTTGTTATTCGAATCTAACTTTTACCTTGAAATCCAAATAATCTGATAGCAGTTGCAGGTCATTACGCCATTTTTCTCGTATCGGCTCGTGAGACTCGATCTCATCCTTTTCTGGGATAACTCGAAGCAATGGATTTATGTGAAAAATGTAAGAACTATCTGCCCACTCGTGACTCACCATACACCCTAAATTAGATCATAGATTAGACTATAAACTACAAATACATGTGAGATCTGCAGATATGGAAAGGGAATAAGACTAAATGTAATTTTTTGCGGTTATTCTGTTTTATATACCCATCGGCAAAGAAAATTTTGTCCATTTTAAAATAGCACTAAAAAGGAATCAAACGGTATGGAAACACAAGGTTTAGATAAGTTAAAACCATTCTGAGAACGATTTATATTTTATTGAAGTTATAATTTAATTGTTTTCTCTTTCTTTACCGAAATACTGATGTAGATGACATAATGTATTCTAAACTCAGAACAAAGTAAGAAAATTACATAAATATCATTTTTTTAACACAAAACTAAATATACAAACCCAATACAATTTTTAAAACATAAATAATTTTTTCCTAGTTTTTTTTTATTTTTTATTTAGTTTAAATTTAAAGGGTAACTCAAAGCCTACATGTACTTGATTAATTTTCTATAGTAATGCTCTATATAAATCAGATGCAATGCATACCTTTAAATGTGAGAACAGTGAGCGATTGGTTAATAAATCCTGCGGGGTCTATAATATGTCGTTCTACTTTAACAACGAATAAGGGCTTTCCATTTACTATTGCCTGACTGACTCCTTTTGATATCTTTGACATAAATTAATGAGCCTTATTAATTTGAAGTATACATATGCTTACGCAAATAGTGATTTTATAATACTTACGTATATACTCTCACAAACAGTTCCATCTAATAGGACTGTTTTTGTTTTTACATGGCCAGCGTGTCTGTTTATAGCAAAGTATCGCAGCAGCACAACATTAGCTCCTTCAAGTAAGAAATTTTGGGCGACATCGAATGAATGGTAGATTCTTTTGACAAAATGTCTATCACCACAAACACGTGTCACTTTATTATAATAACCATCCTCACATATGGCCATATAGCTTCGTTGTTCCTTCGTCAAATCTTTCTTTGTTATATGTCTGTGATATTAAAAATTATTTTTATAAGATCCAAACACTTGAGACATTCATAGCAATAAAGATAAATATGATTAAATAAATATACATTATATTATGGTGTCTTTATATGTAGTTGTATTTTAAAATCTTTTAACTATTCAAGAACGACAATTCAAGTTACATTGAACGATAATTCAAGTTGCTGCAAATTAACCCAAACGTCGGGAATATGCAGTTTTTAAAAATAATAAAATACTCGTTGTAATCCGAAAATATTAGTTTCATTTAATCGTGATATTTGTGTATTTTGATCAGCGGCTTTCATGAAGTACTGATCTCAATTTTTGAACCACTTTTTGGTTTTACACTATCATTCCCTTTTAGGAATTCTAAAATTCAAAAAGGGACTTTTCTTGATTGAATCAAACGATATTGCAAAAATTTTCACTAATGGTCTGATTTAAGAAATTTTCTTTGTTTAGTAAAAGTAAAAAAAAATGGCAATCACGATAATACGCTACATTGCAGTTTAGTGTAATTTTAATGTAACACAAACTTTTTAAACTACATATAAACAAAAAATCAATATTTAATAAATGAAAAGTAATGCTTGCGTTGAAGCAATAGCAGAAAATATTATGTGTTATCATTACTCAAAATCGTTTTGTTGCTAATAATTCCGCTAATTTTATTTTTGATTAAGCTTGCTAAAGAAGCAATATACAAGTATATACAAGTCTATATTTGTTAGATAATTTTTCTTACTCGCATCGATTTTCTTCTAAAGTATGGAGACTGCAGTCCAATATACCAACTAGTTTCGAACCAGTTTTAGCTCCTTCTTTTCCACTATGAGACACTATTTGAACAAGAAATTTGTCTTTGTCTTCTCCCAAAGACTCTACACTGATGCTAATACCTATTACAGATATAAATTTATAAAATACAAATCTTAAAACACAAAATGTTAATGGAAAACTTTATAAGTTTACCTCCAACAGCACTACAACAATCCAGGCTCGGTTTTTTAACTCTTTTTTTGAATGAAGATGCTATTGGCCCATGAATTGCACACACGTCATCTTTCTGGCTTGGTGTATCGTGTAAACCTAATATTTTAGTTTTTTCTCTCTCTGGTTCCCTACCAGATATTTTATCGTGCCTCTCATACGCATATCCGAAAAATGTATGTTTTGGATCAACGTCATTACACCACCTATAACCATGTTTCCCAGCTCTCACTCTTTTTAAACTTTTATTGTGATCATTCTTTTGAGGACAGGTGCAGACTAGACCCCCAGCTATTTTCATTGTATTTTCTTCACAAGTACACAGGTCTTTATCTTTTTGTACAAGATCACAAAGACAGGGATCAGTGCACTCACAAGTAGTGAAACAAATGCATTGCTCTGCATTACCACAAGTGCAAACTTGTGGTTTGGGAAAGCATTCACAGTCTTCGGGTGATTTTGAATAACATGTGCATTCTTGCTCTTTAGGACAAACACACACAGTTTTTGATTCATCGTCCTTACAGATAAGTTCCTCGTCTTCATTTGGTACACATATACAAGTAGGTAAGACACCGCAAATACATGAACCTTTCTCACACGTACATTCTTTTCCTTTTACGCAGAGGCATACAGGTTCGGGTGGTAATTTCTGGCATGAACAAGGCTCCTTCAATGGCACTGATTTTACAGATTTTACCTTTATTGGCACCGATTTTACAGATTTTACCGTTATTGGCTCTGTCTTTGTTTCTTCTGAACGGCATTCTTCACCATATTCTTCATACTTAAATACTTCTAAATTTGTAGGATGAACAGGTTTACCTTCACATACACAAACCGGGTGTGGGTACTTACCAGCTTGGCATATGCAAGGTTTATCTATATCAGCACACTTGCAAATAGGCATTGGTTTATGGTCTGGATGGCATAAACAAACTTTGCTTGGTTTACATACACATACTAATCGAGGTTTTCCTTCGTCACAAATGCAAATATTTTCAGCGTCACGACAAGTACAATCATGTTTCGTTTTAGCACCACATTTACATGGTACTTTTAAAAAACATGGACACTTGCCGCTTTTATCCAACTTGCAGGTACATACCTCTGGTTTTTTCAAACCTTTATTGATTTTGGGGAATCCGTCTTCTATTATTAGACTGGCCTGGCTATGACTCGGTGGAATCGGTTTTGAACAATCCGGAAAGAAATAAAAATGAAAGTCTTCTTCCTCTTCTATAACCGATTCCTTTTTTGGGACTTCCTCGGTCTTATCAAAAAATTTATCGACTACTACATCTTTACTTTTTTCTGATATTTTACTCTCTGAGGATTCATTACAAGTCCAATCTGATTCGGAATCTGAATCTTGAAGATCCCCCTCGTAATGTCCACAACTTATTACAAGTGTTTCGGCAAAACATAGTTTTTTCTTAATATCGTCATCTAAATTGGTGAAGGAGATAAGAAATAAAATTTTAATGAAATTTTCCGTTTACTATTACAATAAATTACTTCGATAACTTGGCCACTACCTTTAACTACACTACACTACTCTTTCTAAACAACCTTGATACATTTTATATATGTTTACTTACCGATTTCAAATTTTAATTGTTTTGTCAAATCAATTAATGAAATATGGGACTCAGTAGCCATGTTTTAACACATCTTTAATTATTTTTTTACTTTTTGCAGTATCAATTGAAAAGCTTGTATAATCAATTTTAATCGCATTAAAAAACCTTTTGTTTTTTGCCAGTATAATTGATGAACGTCGTTACTTTTACTTTAAGCCTTTCTAATTAAATTTAAAAATACTTAGAATCAAAAAACTAATAAAACTGGTTTGTTATTATGTAAAATAATTTAATTTAAGTTAGTCTTTATTTTATATCAAACTTACGAAATGGAAAGCACTTTAAGTGCGTGTAACCGAACAAACGACCGAACGATTTGACAGATGATGTGGCCTACCGTCTTGAAGTAGTGAATTTTATTAAATTATTTTACTGGAATGTTTATTAAAATGCGAACATGATTGTTTTTGAATGTGTTATATTATTTTCCTTACTATCAACCTGCTATTGTAGGCTACCTGACAAAGTAGTGTGTGTTAATCCAGAATGTAGTGGTGAGTTCTATAAAAACGTTATACAGTGCTAATAATTTATTTGTAACTTAAAAATAATGTATGTTTTACTCTTTGTAATCATGACTTTTTAAAAAATTTTATGTATTACACAATTTATTTAAACATTTTTTTTTATTGAATTTTCAGAACCAATATCCAAAGCGAGAACGTTAATCAATTACAACAGTGGTGATCCAGATCTTATGTCTTTTCGAGGGAATTCTGAAGCAATAATTTTCAGAAAATCAGCGGGCGAGAATCGAGACATATGGTATGCTAGTATAAATGGAAAATCTGGTTATGTTGCCTCAAAATTTCTGAGAGAATACAAAATACTAGAAAGAAACCCTGATGTTATTTTACCTATACAAGAAATTCCAATACAAGTCCAGCCGAATAAAGTACAGCAAGCTCATGAGGTCATTGATGGTACAACAATCTTAAATAGTAGTCCAGATGGGACAACTCCTCCTTCAGAAAACTATCCTGAAACCACTGAGCCCACTCCTATTAATAATGATAATATAAAAAATGATGTATCTACATATGGAATTAACAAAGAAGTTGAATCAAACTTAAAAGACACAAATGAAAATGCTGTAGCTGACTCAATTGCAATTAATAATAGTGAAAGTTCTACCTCATTGAAAACTATATCATCGAATCCTTTAAATGAAGATAGTGGCAGTGATCATGTTGTAATAAGTGATGGTAATGGTCAAATAAATGAGACATTAGATGAAAATTCAGAAACAGAAGATGAGGAACAATCATCAGTTAATTCAGAAGAGACGTCAGAGAGTGAGGATGACAAACATTCAGAAGAAAATGTGGCAGATGTAAATGACATCCCAGTAGAATCAACAGAAGTGCCTGAAAAACAAGATATTACTAGTGATATTAATACTAAGGATCCTGTTAATAAAGAAGACTCATTTTCAAATGTAATAAATAATGTTAACTCCCAATTACCATTAGAAAACATAGTTGGTAACAAAGCAGAGGATACGCAAACAGAAATCCCACCTCAAGTGCCTGAAACTAAAAGTGAAAGTATAGTTAGTGAGCAAATTGCAAATGATCAAATACCTATGGATATACCTAATGTTGAAAATATAAAACAAGAAACTGAAACAACAGAAGTTCCGGTTTCAACTGAGATTCCCGCTGCCCGAGAACTTACTACACCTGAAAATATAAATCAAGAACCTGAAAGCACAGAAGTTCCGGTATCAACTGAGATTCCTGCTGCGCAAGAAGTTACTACACCAGCACAAGAGATTCCAATAGCCCAAACAATTCCAGCTTTATTCCCAGATGCCTATGAAAACATAAATACAGACAGTACTCACCAAAGTAAACCGGTTGCTTATGAAACCACACCTCAGTACATTGAAAACCAGGACACACATATTACTGAAGCAACCACTGTAAGTGAACCGAACATAGATGTTACCGAAGAAACTACATCCCCTCAAGTAGAGATAACCACTGAAACAATACTAGAAGAAATCTTTAGCTCGACTACAGAAACCCCAATTTCTATGGAAGATAATACTGAAAGTGTTTTATCAAGTATTTACACGACAGTTGCCGACCTATGGCCTCCAACCACAGAAACTCCGCCTCCTATTTACAATCCCGAGTATGTTGAAGATCGTGAAGACAAAAGCTTCTCATTTATAAGTTATTTATTTAATACATATAAAGTTGTTATGGGAGTTCAGGAGGATAGTAATGCTCTTTTCCCAGGAATTGGTAAGATATTAACAATTATTTTTATCTTCTGTAGTGTTATTAAAATATTTTTAACTTCTATTTATTACAGAAAATGTAAGATTCTGGGTACATTTCATACAATAGTTTATTAAAACATGCTATATGCTTTACAAATTTTTAAGTGCCTTAAATTTGACAAGGACTCCAAAAGAATTTAAATTGCTTGCAGTATTTCAAATGTGTTGTAAAAATTTAATTATTACTTTTCTATGAAACTTTTACAGAAATAGTTCACATTTAAGTATGTAAATGTCAAATTACTGTTATTAAAACTGATGCCAAAACAGCATCAGTATTATCAAAAGTTGCATATAAAATAATCAATAATATTTTCAAATCTAAATGTAATAAAATAATTCAGGCATAAATCAGGATGTATTTCTTAAATGAATGACAAAGTCAATTACAAAATACAATATTTGATAAGATATATTTTAATTATGATAATGAAATAATAACACCCATTTAATTAACAAAAAAATTAAAATAAAGTCAATACATATGTTATTTTCATGATTTTTTCAGGTGAAACATGTTATAAGGATGAATATTGTGATGGTGAGGGAAATAGGCCTAATCGTCTTCTAACATTTCTTGTCACCACCGCTGGCTCAGTGTTGCTCTTCACTCTTGGTTACTACTATATAGAAAGCAAACGACAGGACAGTAGGCTCATCGGAAACATTGATAACCTTCAACGCGAACTGCTTTTCACTAGTAAGGTTTGTATTTGCAAATTATTTAAAATTTTCTCTTCATAAATGATTAAAGTTCAAACCTTCTTCATGTGAGAAAAAGGTCTTTGCTCAGCTGTAGGCTCTGATAGGCTGATAATGAAATGTCTTTCAAGTAAAACTAAGATTTTCATATATACTTTATTTTCGACTCGTTTTCGCATATTCACGGTTGCTGCAAAGAACCGAAACGTAGATAGTATGTAGTTAAGTTTTAATTAAATTAATACACGAAAATATTAGATAACATTAATTTAAATATTACTTTATGAATTTTATATTATTTATCAATATTCAATATCTTTATAGGAGTGTAAGATCCTTAAAGAGGAGCTTGCGTCTACTAAAACGAAGTTGGCAGGTATCGAGGACAGCTCATTCGGTATGGACGATATGGTTCAATCATTGAAAGCTGAAATCAATGAACTGAAAGAGAACAACGAAAGATTAAGAAACTCCTTAGACGATAATGAAAAGTTGCTGAGAGTGTCTGAAAACACGGCCGGTGAACTGCAGAATACTTTGAGTGAAGTAGAGAATACTCTTAGTGAGCTCTTTGCTGAGAGAGCGCATTCTGAAGAGCAAATTGCTGAATTGAATGGTGATAATCTTGCTTATATTCTAATATATGATTAGTTTGTAAGGGTTTGTGGATGTAATGTTTGTCATACTTCCACAGAAAAACCTGTTTAAGAGTTCTTGAAAAAGCCTACGACATGGGCTAAAATTTATCATAAAAGTCCCCTAAGTTTACATTGTAATACGACTTAACATTTGTTTTATGTACGATATTACGTAATACAAACTATAGATGTCGCTGTCGCGTGTTTGTCATATTAATTGTTTTTAACACACATTTCACCTCGAGCATAACTCACTCACTAACAAAAATTTTATATTCATTCTTATGTTGTATTTATTTTAAAACAAATTCATATGAACAACAATAACACGTTATTAAAGATGCCATCATAAATTCTTTTTTCAATGTGCACCAGTCATAGTGTGATTGAAAAATTAATTTACTTACTATTAAATAATCTTCTCCAATTTCATAAAACTAAAGAAATATATCATGATATTAAAGTATAAACTAATATATTACAGGTAAAATTCAGGCGTTTGAAGAAGAATTAATATCAGTGAGCAGGGAGAGAGATAACTACCAGTTGAAGTATGTTTCAGCGGAAACCGCATTGGAAGAATTTAAAAAACAGAAGAAACAGTTAGATGAACTGAAAATGGATTTGACTGAAGCAAACAATACTATTGAACTACAGCGACATGAGATTGTTGCTCTTAAAGTATGCTTATGTATTTATATAGTAACTAAAAAAAATTGAGGTCATAGATCAGTATAGGTGAAACCATATACATATATGATATATTTTGATTGAACTAAAATTGCTTAAAGAGTCCGTTTGAATTCTAAGGCTATCCATATATATTGAATGCAAATTATTTTTATCATACTCTCATGCTATACCTATTGTCTCTTATAATAAATATAAGCTTTTATAATGTTCTAAGTACATATTTATTATGTTTACTATGTAAATGATTTTGTACAAACTTTTAATATAAAAACTGTACCATATTTTATTATTTTCAGGATGCGATCAAAGAGTTGCAAGGTGGCACATCATCGAACACAGATGTAAATTCACTGATAGACCACACAGAACTAAAAGCAAAGTTGGCCAAAGCTTTGGAAGAAAAAAACGCATTCATGAGTAAATATGAGGTAGATAATAACTCCAGTTATACTTTTTTATTAAAATAAAAAATAATATTTTTCTGATATTCTACACGTGATTAAAATTTATAAAAAACTACATAATCCCGACGTTTCGGCTACTTTTCAGCAAACGTAATCATGGATAGACGAGATATGAATTGTCCCTTGGACCATGATCCAATAAAAATAAAGTGCGCGTACATAGTATATTCGAAAAATATTATTTTCATTTAAACAAATATAGTCTTAGTAGATAGTCTTAGATCTCATTTTTTATTAAATTAATTAATTGATACATATTATGGTTTTAATAATTTTGTATATTTGCCATATAAAGACAGAGCACAAAGAAAGATCCCGTCTGTCCGATGAACTTAAAACAGCTCTTGAGTCATACAAAGTGAGCAGTCAACAGGCAACGGAGGCCACTACTAGGTTAGAGGTGCTGGGGAAATACTTCCAAGAACGAGAGAGCGAACTCATGAAGTAAGTAAATAGTAATATTATATTAAAATTACTAAAAAATTAGTTGATTTGATAACCATTAAAAATTTTTTTTGAGATCTTGAATCTAAAATACTTTTATTTATATACTAGAAGACCCGGCGAACTTCGTATCGCCCTATAATGAAGAAATATCTTTTACGTTTTTTTATTTATATTTTTGGAGTTTACCTATTAAAATAATATAAATCAAAATCGGTCCAGTCGTTTGAGAGAAGTTCAGTGACATACACACTCACAGAAGAATTATATATATAAAGATATTTCTTGTATTTTTCAGAGAACTGAGCACCAAAGAAGCGTTATGGCTCAGTAAACAAGGAGAGTCCGCTAGCACTGTTGAAAAGATTGAAATATTGCAGCAGGAGGTTCAAAGATACAAGTACGTTAATGTTGTATATACAGGTGGTAATATATGAATTGTAGTTATTTAAGAGAGTAAAATTGTAAATAATTCAATTTCGAATATCTTGCTTTAAGTTTTTTCTAGAACATACAAAAAACGCTTGTTGTACCTGATTTGAATAAGTCCTGTGAATACAAACAGATGAAAACTAGTTGATATCTTGTTCTATAAAGTTGATCAATCTGGGAAACGTTATATGGAACAATATACATAAAATTTATACAAGTACTATTTTCTATTACATTCCTATTATTATCAACTTAATAAATTTTCATACAAACCCGTTTTTTCATGTGTTCAGGACACATTTATATAATATACTAGCTTTCCGCCCGCAGCTTCGCCCGCGTGGAGTTCGGTTATATCGCGTTTCCAAGAGAACCTTTCAAAAGTCTGCGATAAAAACTCTCCTATGTTCTTTCTCAAGATCAACTCTATGTCTGTACAGTAATACCCCGCTTTACGCGAGGGATACGTTCCGAAGAAAATCGCGTTAGCTGAAATTCGCGTATATCGAGGTTTATGATTAAACACAGTCAAAATTTAATACAAAAATATAAAAATCATTGTAATCAATCACTTTAATTCTAAGAACATTATACAATACATAGGTACTCCTATTTTTTACGAAAAAATACATGAATTGTTTTTTGGGTAGCGTTTTGTTTACGTTCTTGTAAAATACGTTGATAACACCAAACACTGTTTTTAATCGTTTGACACACGTTCAAGACACTGTCATCATTAATCTCTATACTCTGCAATGTCCCAACCTGAATAAATTTTTGAAAATCGCGTTATAGTGAAACCGCGCATAACGGGGTCGCCTTAAGCGGGGTATTACTGTACCAAATTTCATTAAAATCGATTCAGTGGTGAAGGCATGGAAGCATAACAAACACAGACAGGCAGAGTTACTTTCGCATTTATAATATTAGTAGGATTTACAATATTTATAATATAACTTGTTAATTATAGGGAGAAATGCGACCAGTTAACCCTAGAGCTGGCCGAGGCTGAGTCGTGTAGACGTACAGTAGTGAGTGAGGTCGAGGGTCGAGCTCACGCCGCGTGGCTTGAAGCACGCTCCGCTAGAAGAGACCTGGACGCAGCCAGGGACGAAGCCGCCGCGTTAAGGAGGAAACTGGCCGCGTTACACGAGAACGACGCGCAACGACGTTAGTATACACTATAGAACATCATTAGATATATGAGGTCTAAGACTAGCAAGCATTCATTTAAATGAAACTATAATATTCGGTTTACTTGGCGTTTTCTTAAACTGCACTGCACTGCAGTGAAATAACTGGAGTATCTGGAGTTTCACTACTCCATACTGTAGTTACTTTGCAGCAATAATATCTTCTGCCCGTGATATATATAACTTTTATAGTGTTTTGCAACCTGTACCCTATTTTTTGTAGTTCATATGGTCATACCCTATATTATATTTTTCTCTCTTGTATTTTACTGCCCATGCAATGTTTTAGTAGTTTTTTGCTCGTGTTATTCTGCTATTGACTATTTTACATCTTCTACCACGGTGTTAATACCATTATAACCTGTGTAATATTTTTCTGTAATTTTTTATCTAACAAGAAACAATCTCTCCCAAGATGATTTGAGGTATTTATATATATTATTTCTTGCAATATAAATAATTCAACCCAATTTGATTGTTACAGCAATAGCATCTCCACTAGAGGCAGAGGTAGGGTTGCCAACCGCCCTTCCACCACCTCTTGCGTTTCTTCCACCGCTATTGCCACCCTTGCCGCGTCCGCCACCCCTAGGACGATTACCAACACCACCTAGGTAATAATCATATAAAATATTATTTGGTTTTTTATCAATCAACGTTATCTTTATATATATAATTCTTCTGTGAGTGTGTACGTCACTGAACTTCTCTCAAACGACTGGACCAATTTTGATGAATTTTTTTTTGTGTGTGTTCAAGGGGATCTGGGAATGGTTTAGATTCACAATTTTGTCCGCTGGACAATGTTTTTTAAATTAATTTTTAATTTATTAGTAAGTTGTTGATACAAACATTTTATTTTTGACATTAGATTTGACAACTAATATGTCAATCATTCTGTCGCACTTCTAAACACGGAGATTTATGGCTTTAATAGATAAATCCAAAAATATAAATAAAAAAACGTAACAGATATTTATTGATATACGAAGTTCGCCGGGTCTTCTAGTATACATATAATATGTAGTTTGAGTTTACACCTAAGGATTATTGCTTTTTTGTTAAGTTGCAATAATTTTTTTAAGTAATATTTTCCTTCCTAAATGTGAACATGCTGTATTTGCAGATTCAGTGAGCGTCGTTACTCGCCGGACAGTCGTTATTCTCCGGGCAGTTACTACCCGCCGGAGAGACGTTACTCGCCGGAAAGACGCTACTCGCCGGAGAGACGTTACTCGCCGGAGAGTCGATACTCGCCGGAGACCGTCCGTTACTCGCCGGAGAGTCGTTACTCGCCGGAAAGTCGCTATTCACCACCGAGAAGATCGCCGTATTCGCCACGAAGACGGCGTTCAATTGATAGGTACGAGTGATATACATGTATATTTGGTGTAGTGTATTAGAGTGATTCAGTATTTTTAATTAATACTCACCCTAACATTTTTTTTTAAACAAAAATATATATTATACGGCAATAAGGTTTTTAAACGAGTATCTACAGATTTTATTTTCAGTAAGCAGTGATGGACCCAATATATTAATTATGTATTTTAGATGTATAATCGTTTCTTTGGAACTTATTAAATCATTATTTCGACTTGTACAAAATTAAACTAACCAGAGATTAAAGCTAACAACACATTGACATGATCAATTTGTGATACCAAAAGCTTTCTGCAAAGCAATGGAAGTATCAAAGTATATAATTAAATATATATTAATGTTTTAGGTACAATGGCCGCGGTTCTCGCACTAGAAATGGTCCGATTGATACAGAGACGGAGTATCACTCAGACAGTCCCACAAGACGACCTCCCAGACGGCGGTACTCAAGACGTACATCTGGTAAGTTTAACTAACATATAAACAAATATAATATCAATTGGTATGAAATTTCTCGAAGATTCCCAATTCAAATTCTGTTCGCGTCATTTATTTTTATCTGTTGTTATCTGTTGAATTTTATGTAATGTCATATTAGTGTTGCCATATGATAAAATTTATTTTTTTCATTATATGAAGTGTTGTGTCGGTTAATGTTTGATTTTTGATAGAAAATTAAAATTCTGTGTAATGTAAACTATTTAAATATATATCTTATTAGCTAGAACAGAACTGCATTTCAAAAGATCCGATAGATATATATTAGATAGTACAATAATATATACATGATGCTTACATTTCTTTAAATATATCTATGTGAAAATTATCCTTTAAATATTTTTTTCCAGGTCCAAGCTCTGGTTCAGGATGTTCCTCCGAATCGGAAAAATGATTTGTGTTCTAGTATTTATTTTATTTCGGTTGTAGTGATATAACGAATTGAGCCAAATTATTCATCGGTGGTTATGGAAACTTAATGTAAGATTTTAATCGTCTCCACTGGGAACTTTTAATTAATTTATTAGTCAATATAATGTTCTTCATTATCTATTTGGCGCTCAAATGAAATAATAGTAAAAATCACAAAAGTTAATAGATATTGTTTTACAGCAAACTCAACATATCTCTTACTTTTTCCTATAATTATCTACTTGCTTTTTTGCTTCCAAATATTATCTTCCTCAAATATATATTTTAATCAGTTCAATATATAATATTTTATTCCCACAAAACAATTTTAATTTGACTGTGTAGATTATGTAAATACTTGTGTCCTTTGAATTAAACATTAATTCTAGATGTTTCTATACTTATTTATTTAAGATTCCCCTCTCACTCAGTTTCCCTCAATTAATTATAATTTTTGGACAATTTCAAAACATTCTATAATCATTATCATCAGGAAATTTTCTCATTTACTGATTTTCAATAGTATTTAACAATCAGTATATACGAACTTAAATATATAAAAATTGCTCATACCATGTTGATATGAATGCCGTTCAATATTCCTATTATTACTTAATTATTTTATAGCAGTTAGGAATATACAATCTGTAACCAACGTGTTGTTGATAATTGTTTCTATTTTAAATCTATTTTGGTCTTCAATTCAATGGAATGATAATACAAGTTGTGATAACGCGATAATTTATCAAGAAGTCAACACAATGTCTCACTTCAGATAAACATAGTACTCCTCATTTGCTGACACGAAAATTGTCAATATGATGTAATTATAACATTAATTTATTGTTTTCAATAAAACATTGTAGTAATTTTCCATCACATATCAACGAATATTTGAGTTTTTTTATAATACCTAATTGTTGTTTTTTTGTTTATAATGTAAAACACCATTGGCAGACAATATTATAACAATAAATTAAATGTAATTTTCAAATACTAACGTATTTATTACGAGCCATTATTGGATATATCGCAAATAAAATTGTACTTATTGTATAACCGCAGGAACAAAATTAACGCTATCTTTATTAATTTATCTTCTTAGTCTGTACTGTATTATATTAGATATGAATAAAAGAAAAATATTAAAACGTTGTATCATTTTGAATAATCCGTTTGCTGAGGGAAATAAAAGCAGAAATCTAGCACCCATTGCCGAATAAATAAACAAGTATATATTTAAATATCCTTTACTTAAATATTAAATTATTATTATATAAAGTTTATGGTACTACGTTCCATGGTATAAAGCTGCCCGGTTCCGGACGAGGAATCTGAAAGTAGGTTATTTTAAAAATATTAATATACGGAATATTAAAAAAAGTTTTCACATACACTTTTAATAACTGATTATAAAGAAAGTATGCCTCACTTTTTTGGTTATATGATCCTCACACGCCATTCGTATACGGGCGGAAGTAGCTGGTGATTCAAGCTTAAACTCGAGAGAAACGCCTGCGTCAGCTCGAGCAGCTTTTATAGCTTCTTTTATTGCGAAGAAAATAGAAGACGCCAGAAACAGAGGAGGTTCGCCAACCGCCTAAAAATATAGGTACACTTATAGTAAACAATAATACAAGTCGATCAAGAATATGCCGTCCGTGTTACCTTTGATGAATAAACAGCCCTAGGGTTAGGAGCTCCTTTTAATAAAGAAACATTAAACTCTTGAGGAATGTCCCCAAATCCTGGGATTTTGTATGCGCCTGGTCCTCTTGAATATAATGTGCCAGTTGGAGAATAGATTAGTTCTTCCATGGTGAAGAGACCGTAGCCTTGTATGAATGCACCCTCAATTTGACCAATGTCGATAGCTGGATTTATACTCTCTCCCAAGTCCATGACTATATCAGTTCTTATAACTTGGTGATCACCGCTTAGACAATCTATTTCAACTTCGGCACATGCCACCCCAAATGTAAAGTAATTGAATGGTTTTCCTTTGTTGTTCTTAAAGTCGAAACCAATATCCGGAGTAGCGTGGAATCCTGTAGCAGCTAAGCTTACCCGGTCGAAATAAGCCGCCGATACCCAGTCTTCCCATTTTCCATTTGGATTCTTATCCTTGTAGGGCTGCAGACGCTTCATTAGTGTCTGACATGCCTCCAGAACAGCCATACCATTCAGATCGGAACCGGCACTAGCGGCTGTCGCTGATGTATTGGCGACTTTATCTGTGGCTGTCTCACTTACATGAATCTTTGATATATCTATTCCTAAAGCACGAGATACAATCTGTATCATTTTTGTATGGAGTCCTTGTCCCATTTCTGTGCCCCCGTGGGATAAGAGTACGGAGCCATCTGTATAAACTAATAGCAGAGCACCAGCCTGGTTCAAAAACTTTTCCGTGAATGCAATTCCAAATTTAGTAGGAATTATAGAAATACCTCTCTTCCGCCAACGGTTTTGTCTGAAAATAAATTATCTCATTAGTACTTGAAATTGTTTCAGTGACAATTTATTATAAAAGAATGTAAAATATAGGAAGAGTCACATACTTATTAAATTCTTCAATATCTTTTCTTCTTTGTGATAAATTGCTTTTTTCTACACATTCATCCCAACACCTTTGTAAAGTACAATGAGTTAGCACTTGACCATAATGCGTAATCGAATTCTCAGTATACAAGTTAATCCTCCTAATCTCATCCTGACTTTTGTTTAACTTGGCTGCAATATCCCAAATCATATTTTCAGCTCCAAACATTCCCTGAGGACCACCAAATCCTCGAAATGCTGTGTTTGATGGCAAATTCGTCTTGCATACGTGTCCGGTGACAACGCTATGCGGTATGTAATAAGCGTTTTCAAAATGAAACATTGCTCTTTCTACCACCTAAACAAAGCAATATGACAATTAGTACAAAAAGAAAAATATTTCTTTTGTTTCATATAAATTATTCATCTTAACTATATTCATATTCAGTTTTTACTTACTGGGCCAGAGAGATCGAAAGAGTACCCGCCGTTATTATAAATATTTACATCAGCCGCCATCATTTTTCCTTCTTTTGTAACTGCTACCTTATATTTTATTAAGAACGGGTGTCTTGTTCCGGACATTTGCATGTCTTCGTCTCGATCCAGCATACAACGCACTGGTCTTTGTAGTTTATGAGCAGCGAAAGCTACTGGCAAAGCTATCAACATCCCCCGAGATTCTTTTCCACCAAATCCACCTCCCATGCGCTTAACACGGGCTACTATTCTGTTCATGGGCACATGAAGAACATGACTAGCCAATTTCTATAACAGGAAAAAGATTTTATATTTAAGAATTTTTGTCTATACAAGCAATAATGTAAAAGAAATGTGTTAAACACTTACCACTATCTCTGATGGATGTTGACTAGAGCAAAATATTTCTAATTCATTGTCTTCCTTTTTTGGTATAGCAAAAGCTGCATGGGTTTCCAAGTAGAAATGCTCCTGCCCTCCCAAGCGACACTCTCCCTCTATAATAATATGGGAAGGATCATCAAAGACACTTTGTACATCACCTCTACGCAACGTTTTTGGGAATTGCTTATAGAATGAATTATGTTTTATAGCATCTTCAATTGTTATAATAACCGGTTGTAACTCTTCATATTCAACTTTTACTTTTCTTGCGGCAGCTTGAGCAGTTTGTTGATCTTGAGCAATTACAACACCAATTGTTTGACCCTGGCTAATAACTTTATCTCGGGCAAACAATTCTTCATCATGGAATATTGGTCCAATAGAGTTTTGTTCTTCAGTCAAATCCTTAGCTGAGAAGAAGGCCACAACACCCGGTTCTTTAAGTGCCTCTTCAGCGTTTATAGAGATCAACTTAGCGTGTGCTTTTGTGCTTAAAACAAATGCTAAATATAATTCACCCTCCGCTAAGGGCATATCATCACAATATATTGCTTCCCCTGTTACTTGTTTTAGTGCTGATAAATGAGGTATCGGCCTACCTACTGCATCACTTTTGACTTGTTTGTCACCAATTAATTCAAAATATTGTGAACTTTTCGGGATAGAGCCATGAAACTGTTCAGCACCACTACTTTGATAGGGGTCGATAGCTTCTTTAAATATACCGTCGTGTACCATCTCTTTAGATATAGCTAAATAAGCCTTTAAAAATAGACTCATCGTTAAAGCTTGTCTAAACTCAACATTGCCACCGGGAACAGAGGGACTTAGGGGCAATTCCTCCAATAAAGAAGCATAAGCTTTTTCAAGCATGTCTTCATTCCATTTGAGATTTTTCAAAGAGTCACATGTTTTTGTTGCTATTTTAGTTACTGGAGCCATTCCTCCAAATGCTAAGCCAATATTATCTATTACACTTGTATTGCTTTTAAATTGTACATTAATTGCTGCTGTTACAATAGAAATATCGTCTTCTCTTCTTTTAGCTTGTTTATATGCTTTGACGTATTGGAATTTTTCTGTATAAGGAATTTCAATAGAAAGTAATATTTCATTCGGTTTCACTACATTCCTCCTATAACCAGTAAAAAAGCTTTCATCCATAAAAACCGAACGCTGCCCTTCTCTTTCGCTCAAAAGGTTTAATTTTACTTTTAAGGCCATCAATATTGGATTTAAATCGGATATTGGACTTCCAGTCATAATGTTACCACCTATGGCAGCCACACTTCGTATTTGTTTTCCAGCAAACCAATTTAACATTTCGATTATAGTTGTTAGGGTTCTGGTTTTGTATTTGGGCAAGATTTCGATATAGCTCCTGAAAACGTTCTCTATCTCCAATAATGTAACAGCTGCTCCAATAACTAAACCTGTCTCATTTTCTGAAATCGTATTCATTTCTGATACACAATTTGGCATTATTATAACTGGATACAAGCAATGCTTAAATTTTACCTCAACCCCGACTTCAGTGTTTCCTACAACAATTTTAGCACCTGGGTGTTTTTCCTTCAATTGGACCAACGATTTCAATGTCGTAGGTCGATACCATGTGACTTTATTACTACTGTACATTAAATGTTGTTCATCATAAATAGATGATATTTTGAGCTCAGGTGGAAATATAGGTTCTTGACTTGGATCATACGGTAAAAATGCGGACTTGTCAAATATATATTCTGTTTCGCTTTTATCATTTTTATTTTTGCAACAGTCTTTCCCCATCGCACAAACACCGTTTGTGCCATTTTGGGCTGAATTGCCATTAACCACTCTGTTAACTTCCCAATCTTCTATAAATGTCTTGTAGCCTTCAATAATTGCGCGGTAGCCAGTGCATCTACATAAATTACCTTGAAATGCGACTTCCATGTCTGAGTATTTAATGTTTTTCTGGCTTCTAATTAATGTATACATGGACATTACTATGCCAGGTGTACAAAAACCACACTGTGATCCATGAGCTTTTGCTAACCTTTCTTGAACTGGATGAAGTTTAGTTCTGGTGGACCCAATACCTTCTATTGTAGTTACGGCCAGACCATGCATGGCACAGACTGGGGCTAGACAAGCATTGACAGCCAAATGACTGAAAGATTCTAATAAGGAATATTTTTGTGCAGAAAATAAAGTTATATTAATAAAATGTTAAGTTTCAATTCAGTTTGAAAAATATTTTTGTTATTTTTATTTTATCCTTACGTATTTATATACATTTTTTTTCAACACGTTAACATAAAATAAACACTTTAAATTAATTATACATAGTAACTTCAGCTACTAAGTCATATGTGTAGTAAAACTATTTCATTTGAAAATCTTTCTAGTAAACTCCAAATTAAATGACTTTATAAAAGGATACACAATTTTCTTGTCTTTTCTGTTGTATTTTGACACCATAACAGTACACGCCCCACATCCACCTTCTGCACAACCAAGTTTTGTTCCGGTGAGTCGTAATTTTTTTCTCAAGTACCATAGCAGCGTCCATTCTGGATCTGGATTCGATTCAACGATCTGCAACGACATTTTTAAATTAATTCCACTAATTTGATAAAGTTCAGGGTTTGCAAATGGTTTGACCAGTCCCCTAATATGTCCGTTTCATTTCAAAAATGGTTGTGAATTGTGATTATTTATAAAACCATAGGAAAAATATTTTGAATCATATAAATATACATAAAAATTATGAAAATTATACATATACTCCTTATCATAAAGTCGTAACTTTTATAAACTTTAATAATTAACATTTATACGTTTGGTTTTTAAAACAAATAGATGTGGTTTATAATATCTAATACATTTATTGAGAATGAAGTACTTTAATGTTAAAATAAAAATAGTTATAATCTTAAAATAAAAAGGTAATTATAAAAATCAGTAGTGTTCAAAAAGGTTGAATATAGCCTTTTGAGTTATATTTACAAAATCCATCTTTTACGTAAATTGTCAGTATGATTCGAGAGAAAAAAAAATTGTTTGTCTTGGTATTTTTTTGTTTTACCAAATAAAGAAGAACTATAAAAAGATCACAAATAATCTATTTATATACATACAAAGGAAAAATATATATAAACAGTATGATTTTTCTATACAAAACACTTAGTGCTTCGAAATACCACTTGTTTGTTAAAACAATTATAATAATTTGCTTGTGTTAGTTGCATATTATATTTTTGTTTACTCATTTTCGATCATGGTTACAGTAATGTAAACAAAATATCTAGTATTTGATAAGTCATATTTCAATAAGCAATTATATTTTTCATTCTACTTCTATTTTATTTTACCAAAACATCTCCTTTGATGATTTTAAGGGTAAAATATGTAATATTTAAACACTTTTTTAGTACTAACATCTATATTAAGAAATTCCTTTTATTACTATCTATTAACTATGTCATATTTTAAGTAGGAATTGGCGTATTTTACGTCACTTGTTTTGATAACATTGAAGAGACTGACCTCCTGATTATTATGTATAATTTTATTATTTAAAGAGACGATTATTATTAACAAAGATACAGAAACATTTATCTATAGAAACGGTGATGAAATAATTGACTTGGAACTAAAATAAAAACAAGCTATAAAAATGTGTCCTTAACCTAACGGGTACAATAATATGGTCAAATGTTACTTCTTCGGATGTTTTAATTGAATTGAACTTTTATTTCATACTTTATATTAAAATGAAAAAGAAAAAGTCCTGTATTTTGTGGCTATTGATAGGGTACATTATGACATTTAATACTTTAATTTCTAGGTTAATCGCTCTTGCGGTAAATCTAGGTGGATAGGGTATTATTACACCCCTACGCCTTGATACATTTTCCTTGACCATTAAAAATATAAGAAGCGTTTATTTTATTTTCGAATTCTGTGGATAGTGTGTACTATTATAAAATATGGCAATATAAAAAGCGGTACTGAAACTAAATCGTTTAAAGATTTGTTTAAATAAAGTCACGAATACAATAGTAAAACTTATAATAATGTAGATAATTGTCATAATAAATAATATGTGATAACAAATATACGAACAATTTAGTGAGGTTACTTTTTCAAACAGATGATTATATGAGTACAAAACGTCGTTAATTTCATAATACCGACCTGTCACAAATGTTTCACATTAATTGAAAATAAACTGTTACTTTGCTGTATAACGATAACTGAAATATTTAAGTTTTATAACATTCGAAGAGATTTCATATTTTTATATTAATATATTTTTAATCATTCCACAGAATTATTTACAAAGGATAGCCGACATTTTTCCATATATTTTGCCGGCAAAATGATCAAGAGGAGTTTCAAATGAAAGTTTTAGATTACAAAAAAACATTTTTAATAAGAGATCATAAAATACCTGAAATATAATAATAAGAAGAATCTAGAAATATTCACAGACACATTAATAATTTGTTATAAAACAAAATAGTATTCAATCCGAAAAATTTAAGATAATCCATTAATTTGAATATTTGATCACCCACATGTGTTTCTGGAAAGAACCTGTTTACGTTCAAGTTCAAATATTTTTTTATATTGTTACTATGGATACTAAAAGATAATGACTGGGTACATATAATACATTGCTGTAAATTATAATCATTACTATTTTGAACCCGTACAATAACTGGATCGTGATAGAACCATGACCTATTAAAGGACAAGTGGAGAAGATAAACTATTAAGATTGAAGAAAAATGTCATCACATACCTTTTTTCCATTAACATAAAAAACAAGATCCGTGCTAACTGGACTGCTGTCTTCGTCAACGTTTTTGGGTCCCATGTCGCTTATAGAACTTATAATATAACTAGTTTACAGACTTGTTAGCGCTTCACATATAATCTTGTCCGTCCCACACGACTGACCGACCAAGACTGAGAGTTGTATGATAATTTAAGTAATTCGGCCTTTCACGACTTACTGCTATCAAAAATGATGCGCATTTTGTACGCCTAAATGATTATTGTGACATAATGCTTGTGCAAAAACAATTGTATGTGACGACTGATCATAAATACATATACAGTAATTATGAATAATAATAATTAGTATAACAAAAATCTTGGTACATTGTTTCTTATTTTAAAAACATTTGTTGATTTAAATAATGTTATGAAATATTTTTGTCGTGTTTGGTGATTGAATTATGTAAGAACAAAGAAGGTTCAGGTAAATTCGAAATTCTAATATGTATATAAATGATGTTTAATGGTTTTGTTAATTAATTATTTAATTTTAAACGAACCATCCAAAATTCAAGCTAATGTTTATAAATAATTTAATTAAAATAAATTGATTGAATTGCATTAAGAATAGAAAAGAATAAATGATTTTGCTAAAGAATGGGAGAAAATAGATATCGAATGATTGAAAATCACTACTTATATGTTAAATTGAATGTTTTAATAGGTCTAGTAGAAAGTCTACATGTAAACAGTCGATTCGTAAGCTTGTATTGCACAAATCTAGTAGGTCAGTAAACAAGTTCTTAGTACTCAGATATAGAATTATAATTTAATTTCTTCATTATCTTCAACTTAAATATATATGATTCTATTTTAAATTGAATATAAAGTATGTGTATTTTAATCTAGACATGTTTTTAAGTTGATTGTTATAATTGTAAAATGTAATACAAAATAGATTTAATTATGTTTTTGTTCCACATTCGTCTTCATACTCGAGTTTTTGTCTGAGTGTAATAATGTAAAAAAACTGTTGGCTTAAAAATAATAATAACCGTTCAATGAACTGTGGATTATCTGTAAAAACAAACTGATCCTTTACAGGCTAATATTTCGACAAAAAGCTAATTTCATTCATAATGAGGCTTGACAAGGAATAGCATTTCCTTGACCAAAAATAGTGACCAAAGAAATTATAAAAAAGCGAAGATAATACAGCAAGGTATCAGAAAAACTTGCACACATAATTATGGAGAAATTTACGTACATATTTCATACTCTTACTAATTACGAACGTCATAATTTCAAGACCTTAAATAACATTTATTTTCAAAATGACTAGTTTGAGTTTGCATCGTCACACTACATTCGAATCCTTTCCATTTCTCATGCAATAATGTACGTTATTATTATTATGGAAGAAGATTTATTATTGAAAAACTGATTTCGCTTCACATGTTGTGTCGATGAATGTTGGAGTAAGCATACATCAAGAAACCGAATACTTTAATAAGCCGTGGAATATCATTGATTTTAATAAAGCTCTCAATGGCCACCTTATAAGTCCTTTAATAAGTTTTTTAATTGAAATACATGAAGTTATGTTTTTGATGTTTGAAAATATAACCCACAACACCAACTGTGACTGATTATTTATAATAATAAATCCAATAGAAGCTGATTCATAAATAGAGCAATTTTAAAGTCATTAACAATTCACTTGTAATACCATTCTATCAACATTGTTGAAATTGAAATATTTGTAGGTATTTTCTTTATATTTACTTGTTTCATTATATTTAATTCACACATGTGACTTTTATGACACATTGTTATTCATAAAACATTGTTGAAGAAGGAATGTTTGAAATGGCAAAAGGATATAATTTTTTTTTATTAAAAAAAAAAATTTCAAACAAATATATTTATTTAACAAAATAAGAAAACATTTTATAGTTATTTAATCATAAAAAAAAAACATCGTTCTTATTAAGATAGAGTTATATTCCACGGTTGACGTTCAGATGTTATCGTGGGTTTCACCTGAAAATAAATTCATAAATAAATTACTGTTACCGGAGACTTATTTTTGGTGACATTTCTATTGCACTTCGTTACGTTCGTTACGATACGTACCTGTTCTGTAATTACGTCTTCACAGGACATTCTTATTCGAGCACAAGACGCTGGTATATCTAAAATAAAATCGGGATCGACCCCGGCATCTACTCGCGCGGATTTGATAGCTTCCTTTATAGCGAAAAATACTGACGCTGCGAGGAACAGCGGAGGCTCTCCTATAGCCTAAATTATTATAATAAGATTAATTTTCATGACTTATAAATTAAGATTACATTATTATAGTAGTATATTACCTTAGAAGAATAAACAGCACGTGGATTGGGTGCCCCTTTCAGTAAGGCTACGTTAAATTCTTTCGGAATATCAGAGAATCCTGGGATTTTATAAGCACCTGGTCCCTTAGTTAATACTTCTCCAGTTGGTGAGAACAACATTTCTTCTAACGTGTAGTAGCCGTATCCTTGTATGAACGCCCCTTCGATTTGTCCGATATCTATCGCTGGATTTAAACTTTCGCCAACATCCATAACTATATCAGTTCTCAGTACCTGATGATCTCCAGTGAGACAATCAATGATAACCTCTGAGCAAGCAACTCCATAAGTGAAATATTCATACAGATTCCCTGAATTTTTTTCCCTATCGTAATCAATTTTAGGGGCAGAATAGAAGCCTGTAGCTGATAAGCTTATTCGTTCACAATACGCTTGAGAAATCCACTCTTCCCACCGTCCTGCAGGGTTTTTAGCTTTAATTGGTTTCAATCTGTCATTGATAGTGTTGCAGGCGTTTATTACCGCCATTCCGTATATATCGGAACTAATACTAGCAGCAGTTGGTGAACTGTTAGGTACTTTGTCTGTAGCCATTTCACTTATATGTATTTTCGAGACATCAACTTCTAAAGCCCGAGAGGCGACTTGAATCATTTTGGTAAAAAGACCTTGCCCCATTTCAATACCTCCAAGAGATAGCAGAACGGATCCGTCCTTATAAATTAATAGTAGAACGCCACCTTGCATCAAAAGATCGCCTTGAAATGAAATACCATATTTTGTGGGCACTATACTAATGCCTCTCTTCTTCCATCTTTGATTTCTAAAAATAAAAATATAATAAATAACTGTTTGTATTAAAGACATTGTTGAATTATAAAATAATTATACAAAAAAAAATACCTATTATATTCTGCAATATCCCGTTTTCTTTGCCAATAATTCGATCGTTCGATACACTCGGTCCAGCATCGAGGTAAAGTACAATAATTAAGTCTTTGATTAAAATGTGTTAACGATCCTTCTGTATAGAGATTCGCAGAGATTATTTCCTCGTATTCTTTGTTTAATGCACTCGCTATATCCCTTATCATAGTTTCAGCTGCCATCATCGCCTGCGGTGCACCGAATCCTCTGAACGCAGTGTTTGATGGTGTGTTCGTTTTACAGAGATAGCCATTTATTTGTATGTTAGGAATAAAATAACAATTATCTACGTGGAATAGAGCTCTCTCCATCATCTGTAACACGAAAAAATAATTATTATTCTTTATTAGTAGCTCCTAAACGAATATAAGAAAGATATCTAATAATATTTATTATATAAATTTGTAGGTAAAGATACAAGTAGTCTGTAAATTTTGGAAAAGTACCGTTTATGATAAAAAATACTAAAGTAGATACTGAAACTCTCTTTCATATTGACTATTTCAATAAATATAAAAAATATTTTTAATATTTGCTTTAAGTATACAATGATTTTAACATTTTTTATTTTCTATGTACGTAAATATGTATTTTTATTATCACGTCAAAATCTTATTACTTATTTTTTTTTATGAAGAAGTTGGGATCTCAAGCACGTAAACATATTTACCTATAATCTAGAAATCAATCCTTATACAAAATTGAAATTTTTTTCGAAATCCATACTTATTTTTTTTTATGTTCGCTGTATGTTTAAATATAAAAATAATACTTACCGAACATGAAATATCCATGCAATTACCAGCATTGGCATATAAATCATAAGACGCTCCTAATATTTTACCATGATCGTCAAACGCTACTTTATATTTAATGAGGTATGGATGTCTGTAACCAGTAACTTGCATATCTTCGTCTCTGTCCAATACAGCTCTAACAGGCTTCTTTAATTTATAAGCAGCTATAGCTACGGGTATGGCTAAAACAGCAGCTCTTGTTTCTTTTCCACCAAATCCACCGCCAATTCGTTTTACTTTAGAAACTACTTTGTGATTTGGTATCCCAAGGGTTTCTGCGGCTATGTGCTAGTTTTGTAAAAGAAGATCAAGTTAATTCGCATATTATGAATCAAACACTCATTCATCAATCAATCAAACACTCATATCATTCGCATATTATGAATCAAACTCATAACTCTTCGTCAAATAAATATTTTTATAAGTACGTACCGCTATGTCAGCTGGATTTTGGGATGTACATATGATTTTCAATTCTTCTTCTTCTCTTATGGCGAACGCAGAAATGGTTTCTAAATAAAAATGTTCTTGAGGTCCGCTTCTAACATAACCTTCCCTAATGTGTTTTGCCTCACTAAATGCTTTGTTTATATCTCCCTTTGACAATTTCCGTGGACAATAGCCATCGAAAAATGATTGGCAACGTATAGCATCTTCAACAGTTATTATAAGAGGGTCTAGTTTTTCATAAGTAACTTTAATTAAATCTTTCGCCTTTTTAGCCGCACTTTCTGTTTTTGCAACAACTGCTCCTATAACGCAAGAACGACTAGTCACGATCGAACTACTGAATATTTCTTCATCTTTAAATATAGGCCCCATTTTATTTCTTTCGCTAGACAAATCTGAAGCTGACAGGAATGCTACCACATCTGGTAATTTCAAAGCATTACTAGAATCAATAGATAGAATTTTGGCGTGAGACTCTGAGCTTAACACGAGAGATAAAAAAAGTTCTCCATCCACCGAAGGAATATCATCGCAATATATCGCTTCCCCAGTAGCTTGCTTTTCGGCTGATGCGTGAGGAATAGGTTTACCAAGTCCATCAATTCTATTCTTGTTTGATTCGATTATTTCAAAACATTGCGAGCTTTTTGGCATCATACGTGGCAGTTCTTCAGCAGCACTTAAGTTTTCCTTTTTAATTGTATAACCATTGCCATAAACCTCATTCCATACGTAATTATAAAATCTAAAGAATAAACTTAAACAAAGTGATTTTCGATAGTCGGCCATTCCTCCTGGCACCGAAATATCTAATTTAAATTCTTCATTTAGAGACTTAAACATTTTATCAAGCAATGCTTTATTCCAAATGGAACCAATGATTATATCAGATGATTTTCTTGCTAAAACGGTTGTAGGTCCCATACCCCCAAAACATATTTTTGCCTGTTTAACAATTTTAGAGGACTTATCAATTGTAATATTAAAAACTCCTGTTACTATTGATATATCATCATCCCTTCTTCTGGATTGTTTATAAGCTTTAAAGAATTGCCATTCCTCTGTGAATGGTATATCCAAAGAGACAACAACTGCGTCATCTCTTAATGCAACTTTTCTATACGATTTGAAAAATTCTTCATCTATTACCACTTTTTGCATGTTCCCTTCACTATTACAGACATTTAAGGAAGATGCAGATGCCATCAATATTGGGTTTAGATCAGATATTGGACTGGCGGTTATAATATTACCTACTATTGAAGCCACATTACGAACTTGACTTCCCGCAAACCAATAAAGGATTTGTACAATCGCATCAAATACTTTCATGTAGTCTTTTGGATTTTTCGACATCATATTTTGTAGAAAATCTTGTAATTTCGTAAGTGACACGGTTGCGCCTACTGTAATACTGGTCTCATTTATTTTAATTCCTTGCATCTCAGTTATTAACTGAGGAGACAATAAAACAGGATAAGTCATCTTCTTACATTTTACTTCTACACCTATTTCAGTATTTCCTACAACAATTTTACTATACGGAAATGCTTTTTTTAATATGAGCAGTTGTTGCAAATTTTGTGGACGTACCCACACGCAATTATTGCCTTTGAAGAACAGAAATTGTTTATTATACTCCTCAACGAGTTTCAATTCTGGTGGAAAAATAGGTTCTTGTGTCGGGTTATAGGGTTTAAATTTAGATTCATTAAAGAGCACATCACTCTGTTCACTTTGTTCACCGTTTTTTTCACCATTTTGTTTGAGTCGACAACAATCATTACCCATCTTGCAAGTCGTTTGGGACATGACCTTCCATTCCTCAGTAAAAGTTTTAAAACCTTCTACTATAGGTCTGTAACCAGTGCACCTGCATAGATTACCCTGTAATGCTTCCTCGATATCATCATAGTGTATTTTGTGCTTATTTCTTAGCAAAGCGTACATGGACATAACAATTCCAGGTGTACAGAATCCACACTGCGATCCATGTGATTTCGCAATCCTCTTCTGGATTGGATGTAATTTATCTTGAGCATTACCAATACCCTCAACTGTAGTGACCGCTAGTCCATGGATGGAGCAAAGTGGAGTAAGGCAAGCATTTACTGCTATATGACTGATGTCGTGGTTCAGTACTCATAATTATAAATCCAAAAATAATCATAATTAATATAAAAACAAAATATGTTAATTGAAGTTAAAGATACATGGTTCAAGGCAAAACACGGTCATTCTATATTATGTAAGTCTCTTAATTTCGATTGAACTTAAGCGCCTTAATGAAGTTGTCGGCGTTTAATTAAGTACATAGTGTAATTTAAAAGGATACTGGACACGATCTTCCTGTTTTATATACTGTGACAGCATCACCGTACAGGCTCCACAACCTCCCTCTCCGCAGCCATACTTCGTTCCGGTCAGTTGCAATTTCCGACGAAGATACCAGAGTAACGTCCATTCCGGATCTGGCTCTGTCTCGATCACCTGGAATGAGAAGTTTTATGAACTCATAGCGAAACCAATCAATTTATATCAACTAAGACAAAAATTCTTAGATAATATTTCTTGTTTTTTCCTTCCTGTCATCTCATTTTTTCCGTGAAACGACGCAAAATGTTAAATGCATCGTAAATATATATAAATAGCAAATATAAAGTATTAAATAAATACAAATGTAGCAAAATGTATAAATAATAATATATTATTTTCTACTGTCGAGATCTTTACTATGATTTTCCATTAATTGTTTTAATTAGAGATCATTTAAGAAACAGATAAACTGGTTGGTATTGCACAATACATTGTTCAATATGAGAATTGATATAAAAATATATATGCACCAATTTTGTATTGATCACCCTTAATGATCAATTAATGAAACTGTTTTTATAATTTTCTCAACTTAAATTACATTGTAATCACGAATATAACTTCTGATTGTAAAGAATAAAAGTAAATGTCGACAATATTCAAGAATACAAAACTTTCGTGACAATGTTTATAAAATTTCAATTAATAATAAAATTATGAACAATACCTTCTTTCCATTAACGAAAAACACCAGTGTAGTCACTCTTTCCTTTGGTAAATAAGTTTCGATGCTATCCATGATGAACCCACAATTTTTTAAACAATATTTTTCGATGTCTTTTTACGAAATCATATCCGTACCTTGAGCAATCCACGTGCTCACTGTATTCGATAAAGTAGTAACTGACAATGAATGAGATTGGGAGAACGCATAAAATCTTACGGAGAGGAGAGGGGGAGAATGAATAATGTATCTAAATATTAACCGCTTAAAGACAGATTGAAAAAAAAATAAGAGATTTGATACTTAAATTATATTATAATAAAATTTTGGTTTGGTTTATCCAAAGATTAAAAAAGCTTTTATTTACTTTTTTAATAAAATTGATAGTGAATTGTTAAAAAAATCAAATAGATTATTCACGTCTATCTTCTTGGGTTCCTGTGACATACTTGAATATGTAATATAATAAAGCTAGCTTTTGTTCGAATCATTCTTTATTATGAAATCTTATTGTTGAGAATATAGTAGATACTTATCTATTAGCTACACACGCTGTACAATAGCTTACAATACAATATAGTTTGTACTAAGTCTAAAACTTCAATGACAAATATTATACAGTAATTTGTTTCTTCAGCGACGAAATTACTTATTTTAACTATGATTTTTACACTTATATAGTTTTCACATCATAATCACACGTCATATGAAATTTTATTGGCATAATGCGTACATAAAGATATATTTAGTATTTTGTTAATAATTAATGATGAGACTATAAGATAAATAATTCTGGTTAGTATTTTTCCACTCACTACTTAGTGTTTTTTTTATTATGCAGTAGTTCATTCTTTACAAGGTAAAATATTTGAATATTAATAAACAATAAATTAAAAGAGTAGCTTTTAATGAATTCTTTTCCGAGAACTGTATTTTATTTACCTATCTTTGAAACCGTATAAAAAATCGTCAAACTAAAGAAAATTCTATTATCATGAGAGCTATTTAACTTAACAAAATGCTATACCTATTAAGCAACAAAAAGCTGATGAAGAGGAAACATTAAAAAACTAACCAAAACACAGAAGCTATTTTGTTAAAGTAAGAACAATTTAATGATTACTACCTAACACGAAATACAATGTAATTTGTACAAAAGTGGACCGAGGCTAAAGACGACAGTAAAACAAATTAAAATATAGTCAATAATGTGATTATTTCACTTATTAACATAAAATACAACAATGTATGCACGTGTATTAATTTATCAGACATCGACAAACAGGAGTTCAAATTCTGTATAAATAATAAGAGATAAGACGCTAAAATATTACGTTATATTATAAAATAAAGATTAAATTGTAACTATAACAAAGTTATCTAATTTAGGCCGAGAATACAAAGCTGAAAGAACTTAAGGCTACTGTTACTCATGCTTTTTTCAAGCACGAAGGCATGCTTTAATTGAGCACATGCCGTTAACAAGCATGTGTGTACATGTGTTCAGCTTAAAACAAAAATATATAAATTTTTATTGGATGTTTGTTTCTTAGTCTGCGGGTACGAAACTTGCGATGGCCGGAGCGAAAACGGGGCGGGGCGGTGCGGCGCGGGGCGAAGAGATAACGGTGTCTTGTGTGTGTACGAAATAAACTTCGAGACGAGCGCACGTAGTGTTGTGATAAACATGAATTCACGTCGAAGTGAACTATTGGAGCCCAGTCTCCTAATGAGAGAATTTTTATTGCCTAGAGATGATGTTCATCCAATAAATCAATGACGACGCAGTTTGAGAGATTTTCTTACACTTTATTAATAGCTACGTTGTCATTCAAGAAAGTTCTACAATTACACAAGAATTAGTATAGAGACATTCGATTATGTTTTACAGAAAATTCGAAGCAATCTGGCACCTAACATTTTCGAAAATCGTATAATCTCACCTGAACCAAAACTATTTTTAACACTAAAGTAAATAAAAGTACATATTGTGTGAATATATATTTGTTTATTAATTGAATAAACAAGATAGGTACAAAAATTTACTATTCGGGTGTTTGAGTTCTATACCCACGAGACATGCGAGAAATAGAATTCCTTCTATTTGGATCCCCAGACTTTGAATTTTGCATTTCTTCCATCATTACTTTATTAATTCTGTTCCTAACTTTAAATTTTTGTAATGGAGTAAATGACTCCATTTGTGGTAACAAACTCATCAAGTAATAATAATCATCTGATTTACTTTCGCCATATTGATTTGCGTTTGAATTTTGTTGCAAATCTTTCTCTAACAATAATAATCGTTTTTTCTCTAATTCATACATTTCCATCCGAATATCATTTGCAGTCTTTCTTTTTAGGGTACTAGAACTAGCGGTATTAATTGACAATGGTGTATTTATATTAAGTACGTCATCATCGCCTACTGACGTCAGTTCCTGATCATTCACAGAAGATGTAGGCGAACCTAGATTTATATCTTCTTCTTTAATAAATACGGACTCCGGTGAATTTGTTTCTATGCACGGTGAAGACATTGAAGTATTCGGTAATTGACTATCAACCGTTGTTAAATTTGTGTCTGAATTATCACGCATAACTTCATTTCGCAAAAAATTCATCTGTTCGAAATACTGCCACGAAGACTGAATATTATCTCCTGGAGCGCCTGATCTGGGTGTGGGAAGCTTTTTTAATTCTTTTCGATACTGATCCTTTAAATTCTTCCATCGCTTCTTTAAAAACGAAACTGTAAAAAATAAAACATATTTATTATCAATTAATGAACCCTATTTTATCTATATGGATAAGAATTATAAAAATAAGAAACAGCTAGTAGTATATAAAGTTAATGTAAATTATTTTATTTTACATATTTATATCAACGGGAGTATCTTTTCGAGGTTTAGCATTTTCCTTTCGTCTTGGAAATAAAACTTTTCAAAAAATTGTGTATGCAACTTGCAGTGCAATTTGGGAAAATCTTCAAGAAGACCTGCCAGTACCTACTACAGATATTTTAAATAACGTTGCTGATAAATATTTTAATAAATGGCAATTTCCTAATTGTGTAGGAGCTATTGATGGCAAACATTGTAGAATAAAAAATCCCCCACATGCGGGTTCATCCTACTATAACTACAAGCATTTTTTTTTTCAATGCATCTTCAAGCGTTGGTTGATGCTGACAAAAGATTTTGGGTCGTAGAAGTTGGAGGGCGAGGATGACAGAGTGATGGTGACACATTTCATTATTCAAATTTTTACAAAGCATTAGAAAATAATAAAATAAATATGCCTCTCCCAAGGACATTTCCAGGAAAAGAAATAGTTTTACCAATGGTAATAAGAGGCGACGAAGTGTATCTCTATAGTAATATTTTTAATTAGACGAAGTCAACTGACATTTACTGTAAAAAAAATAGTGTTGTGACAAAGTGACTGATTGAAAAAACTCTTAGATGAATGAAATTCCTTTGATTGTTTAGTGAATAGTTAGCCGATATTAGGTATGAATTTTGAATTTCAATAGTGCTTTAAGTTAAAACTTACTAACGATTTTTCGACGACTATGTTCCTATACTATCTACCTATACTGAATACCGAGTATTATAAACATTAAAGCCCTATTTTCAGTACATTATGAAACTATAGATGTATAAAATATAACAACGGCATACAAGGGCGTCGCCAGCCGATGGCGCAGGGGGGGGCAAGTTGACTTTACAGACTACAATTCATACTTTTCTCATTCTCTATGAATGAGAAAAGTAGGTATGAATTGTAGGTAAAGTAGGTATGAATTGTAGGTATTCTGTGACAGTACAGAGTGTAATGTGTAAAGCTACACGAGCACGAGCTCTTGACTATACGTAGCTCTTGACTTGAGCGTAGTACGGAATATTAAGAGTGGAATTGGTGAATTCATTCGAGTTTCGACGCACGGGAATGATTGTTCAAGGCTTGAACTTCAAGCAAATCGACTCAAATACTTAGGACTTTGGTTGCATTATATTTGGCAACTTTTTTAGAATCTCTAAAGGGGGGGGCAGCTGCCCCTCTCTGCCCCCCCCCCCTTGGCGACGCCCTTGACGGCATAGGCAATGAAAATAAAAAAAATCACTGAATACATAATTTGTTTTCATTTATAATCAGATAACAAATCATCACTGTCACATTCGGTGACATTAATTATAAATCTGTCTGAAACATTGTCGGTCATGTGGTCGAGACCATACATTTTGTCTTCTTCTTTAATTATATGAGCAACGCAGCTACTCCATTTATCAGCCGTGATATGTTGAAGTTCTTCTTCAAAAAGTTTTTTTACTTCTGCCATTTTGAAGGTTTTGTTATTTCTTGCAACATAACCTTTAGCCTGCGTCCATACCAATTCAATGGGATTGAGCTCAAAACTGACTGTAGTTACATACTATAACCCCTACGAATTAACTGTGCACCTCGCTCTGTGACGTCATTAGAACGATACCGCTTGCAAAAAAACTGAGAATTATATAAAAAATATATAAATTTTTTTTTTCTGTTGATAAAGGGTCGTTTTTATGATAAGGCGTCATAATACTAGGTCATTTTACTCATGAAGTTTTCCAATTAAATAGATACATATGGACCGATATGATATTACAGCCTAGCAATAAGAAAACGGCAAGTGGACGCTAGATTTTTTATTGCGGTGATATTTTTTATAGTTTAAGATAATTTTTGTATTTAATAATAAGAATATGTAACAAAGATGCTATCGCTACTGAGCGCTTACGGCGAATGCGGGGCGCCACGCGGGGAGCGGGAGAGGGGTCGCATTCCAGAGAAATGCACAGTTGATTCGTAGTGGTTATACTAGAAACTTATATCAAAGCACTTTTATACAATTTTATTGTAAAATATAAATAATATTAATAACGACTATATTTTAAAATACACCTATTTACATTCATTATTCATTCATCTGATTAAACGAAAACTCAACGCATCACTATTACTTTAAATATGGCAACATTATTTAACAAAGTGACATTAGCTACTGTCAGTTGGCTTCGTCTAATAAAAACTACGACTATAAAACAATTTTTGATGCGACCATATCCACAAAGCGTACTGAATCCTCAGAATGAAACATTTAATGAGAGATTATCAAGATCGAGAAAATGCGTTGAATGTGCATTCAGTATATTATGTGCCAAGTGGAGAATTTTAAATAGAGCCACAGAAACTGATTGCTAATACGCTCGCCAAATAATTAAAACAACGTGCTTGTTGCTTAATATTATAATTGATCAAGATAACTCAAATGATTATTATTATTACTCAAACATAACCTCAAATAAAATAATCACAAATGGGAATGAAACTCGCCGACATCGCAAAAACAACCACGCGGGAAATCTAGCAATAAATGTAAGGGAAAAATTTAAAGAATATTTTATAAATAACCTTACCTTCAACCTTCCCGAAATGACGTTTTACTTCTTCCCAACACTTCATACTAACTCTTTTGTGTTTATGGTGTACGTTTTTACTGTCCCATAAAGCCGGTTTAGAAAAAATTAATGAGATTAACTCTTCATTGTCAATTTCTTTAATTTCCATATTTTTACTGTGATAAAATGCAACACTATCGTACTCGCGAGCGGCGAAATGTAAATAGTTTGTTCCCGTCGCCCCGCCCCGCCACCGCTGTGCCGTTACGTCGCCCTTGCATCGCTCGATCGCGCAGTTCCGCCGTCGGCCGCTTCGTACACAGCGCTTACTGTTTTTAATGCATTTGATTACATCGCCGCCGCCCCGCCCCGCCGTCGCTTCATCCGTCGCAAGTTTCGTATCCGCAGACTTAAAGTGAAACTTCTTATGCGACCTCCAACAAGGTTGCGTAATGCGTTAAACATTTTACGCTCCTGCAAGGAGTTAAAAAGAGACAGAGCGAGATTAAATGCGTGTAAACATAAGGGCAATCAATTGTGACTTGTAAGTAAAGTTCATTCAGTTTGTCTAAGAGAAACACTAAAAAGCCCTATTAAAGTCAATTTCGAATATACCGTAATTTCACTTTTTTTTCACTATCTTGAGATTAATAAGAAATAAAAAAATTGAAAATAAATTTGTGATTGTGGGGAAACCAAAGTAGTGATTTCATGATTAACAAAATTGCTTAACAGATTACAGGGGATATCTTGTAAGTGACTACCAGTTTAGGATAAAGAAACAGATAAAAACATTATTCATCAAATATTTTGAGGTCGTGAGATCAAGATGGCGTGAGTTAATAAAATACTAATTTAAGGATGTCAAATTATGTACATATTATCGTATGCAGTTGAAGATACTTTCGTATTGTCGTCTTCATATTCTATTGTTCTCTGTGTCTTTTTTTAACTTATACTTCCTCATTTAAATTCAACTCAATTCAAAAATATATGTTTCACCAGAAGACTATGGTTGGAAAGTTGTCGATGGAAAATTTTAACCAATCTAGTTTCAGATGAACATAAGCCGGAGACAACTGAAATTGCAGCTACTACTCTTGATATAATATATTGATACACCATCTTGAAATACACTTTATTATAAAATAAAATTGATAAATATTTACGAAAACGCAATCTGAAGATGGTGTCGAGCCTGAAGGGATAAATTATTCTACGGATAATTTTTTTTATTATTAACTTAATGGTTATGCTTTTTTATAATCAGTTATAGGTATACAAAAATAAATCCCCATTTTCCCAAGAGGCATTATTATACACAAACAATAAATTATTCTTTTAAGGTTTACTTTTTCCTTTGAAGAGAGTTCTCATAAAATAAAAAAAATCAAGAAATTTTCGCGGATAGGTAAAAAATTTAAGAAAACTTAACAATTATAATTTTTAACAAATATTTTTGTAATGAAGGCTCCGTTAAAACACATTTTAAATAGAAACTGTCAGGTGGTTGCCATTTAATATTTATGTGTCAGATGTTTAGACAGAATAATCTCGTTTACCAACAACTTTGACCGAATAATTCTAAAGTTTCGAAAATTTGTCCATTAATTCGTATTATGCTGGGCTGAAGCAAGAATATTATTATGGTCCAGGTGGGCTTTAAGAACTAATTATATCCATAAACAGCTCCGTGGTCCAAACGATACTACTTGTTTCTTATAAAAACATATGATTCAAAAATATTAGTTTTTAATATGAAATTAATTAAATTCAATGGTCTGTATAAATCAAGAAAACAATGATTTTTGTCAAATTAGGTAAATCCGTACAAATATTTGTTGGATTATGAATCCTCACGAATGGCATATAAAGATAAATCATGTATATCTTAACCTTAGGCAGATGATTATTTCATAATATAATTTTTTTCACATCCTAAAAATGTCAAATAACTGAATAAGCTTTATTCACGTTCACTTAACAATGTGTTTCATTTAATTTTTTCAATGATACTGACTGGTAGTGCGTAGTATGGACACAGGTCCATCTTGCATATAAATTATAATCAATTAAAATTTTTACAAATATATAGTGTGTGCATTCTATCAATGCCTGTTTATTGCTTACAATATTTAAAAATTAATACCCACTGATGGAAAAATATATGTTAGGAACAATTTATGCTTTTTTAACTAAAGCTTTGCAACCCAATCAATACATCTTTAAACTGACTCTTTCTGAAATCCTCTGTTTAAAGAGCTGGTATTTCTTTTCACCCCATTACAATGGATTGTCATTGGGTAATCATCACCCTTGAGGCAGCCTGCAGGGCCCGTTAAGTGTCTATGAGAAGGTAGTGACTCGTCATAGGTCTTTAATACGCTTGAATATCCTTATTTAACATTGTTGATTCCTATAATACAGATCATATCACAATCATATATTTAAATCAACCCAATTTTTATTTTATATTAAACTAGAAATGATAGAACCAAATTCAAAATATTATTTTTTTATTAACTGCAACACAACTTATTATAAATGAATATTAGTAAATAAAAACAAAACACTATATCTAAGACTTTATTCTTATTTACATTTCCGACTACAAACTATTTTCAACTATACATAGCCTTAATTGTTGATACATAAAACATAAATTTCATGATTTATTGTACAGGCAGCTTTAATGTTGGAAATTTTGATGTTATATCAATAACTGAACAAAAAAATTAATATTAAAAATTGCAAATCATAATGGAGTTATTAAACATCTGTGGCTTATGTTACTACTTTTGAATCAATGAGGTGACATACTATGACAGTTTTATTGTTAAAAAGGAAAATTATATTGATTGAATATATATTTTAATATGAAAAGTTTTCAACACTGTACATACATTATTTCAATACATAACATATTAGAGGTCCTCATTATTTAAAATATTTTTAGCACCTTTATTGATAACATATAGTATAATAACTTAAATGTGATTGCAAAATAGAATTTTTAATTTTTTGTACAAAAATTTTCTTTTAAGAACTTATTTTCATCAGACCCTTTAAGAAACATACATAAACTTTATTATTTATTCTTATTATCTTTTAAAAATGTAACAAATTTGTACTACTTTTGTGATAATGTGACAAAATAGTTTGAATAAATTAATTATTTTTAGTCTGTCTGTTTAAATTTTTCCGCTTAAATATTACAACCTATATTTTAGTCATTTCCAACTCAATAACTACAGTAAAGCATTATATTTAGGCAGTTTTGAGTACACCTTGTTTTTCTAGTTCCTTTTCTACAGCAGTCCCTTCATACTTCATTTTGTCCTTTAATGATTCTTGCATTAACTGGGCATCAAATTTTTGCCTCGACCAATCATATCTGCAGTAGGACCAATAAAGTAAAGTGGTCACAGTGAAGGTTGCCATTCCCACATGTTGAGAGAAAAGAGGTCTTGAAGTCTTCAAAAATGCTGCTAAACCAACACCAACACCTGATGAAAGACCATATAAAAAGCTCTCTCTGAAGCACGGTATTTTTGAGACATCTCGTCCAAATATTACTAAACCCTAGAACAGAAAGAGTATAAAATGATATAAAGATTAAAATTATTGTGTAACAAGGAGATAAACCAATATTTATTTTATCAGCCATTACAAATTTATTATAATTACCTTCCCCTCTTCTTCCTGATCCTCTTCCAAAATAGTCTTAACCACAGTATCCATTTTTATAACCTTTTTTGTTGTTAAAGAATACTAATAATTTAAAATGATTTTGGGCTATACTTTCTCTGCTTCGGCATAAATGAACGGTGAAAGTTAGGACTTACTCAATTATTAATAAAGAAATTATTGAAATATTGTAACGTATTCAAAAAGCCACAAATAAATGTTTAAAGTTTTTCTTAGAGTTAAAAATATCTAGACATGATAAAATACAAGAGAAATGTCTACTGACATTGACAGCACGGTGTTTAATAATATTAGATTATTTCATAAAAGCTAAGTTATGTTTTGTGTAATAAAATTTACTCTAAACAAAACTGGTATTTTCAATTTAGTGTTTGGATCAGAAAGATTTTTTAAAAAGTTATATATTAAATAACAAAAAAAAAGTTTATCATAGTTTTGTTTGATTCTACACTACAGTTCTATTTGGTATATTATAATTTTTTTAATAAGTAGGTTGTTATTAAAAAATCCTTTTTTATGTTTTATGTTTCACTATTAGTAAATTAATGCAATGCAAAAAAATATCTTTAAAGTGTTCTAGATTTTAATCACTAAAGACCAGGTAGATTTTTTGAATACATTTGTAACTTTTATAACTTATGATATTGACTAAAAACTATTAACAGATAAATATACTAATACAAATAATCGTCGATTATAATATTCTTAGGGAAGAATCAGTTATAATCAGTAGGGACTGCATAGATCTACAGTAGTATATTTAATAGTCCATGATAACGATAGGCATTTTTCTTAAATAAATCGTAAATTCTATGAGGACAAATATAAGTATTTTAAAGAATAATAATACTAAATAAAAAAACATATTAAAAATAATGCTTTTTCTGAAACGTTTCATCTTTATTGACATTTCGATCAGATCACGGATGACTTTTCTGACAGTTTTGATATTTACCGATTTTCACAATCAGTACCTTTTCTTTTGGCATTTTCTATGAAGCATATTTAATGTAATCGATGATTTTTCTTAGAAGTTTTCTTTATAGTGTATCGTTTATTAATCAATAATTTTGCTAATATCCAAGAACAAGATTATACACTTGATTTATTTCTTGACTTTGCGTTTATAAACGAAAATAGATTTTCACATCGTCAATAAGTACTATAAAGTTGTAACTACTTTCATTTGCCGCGAGTAACCTGTACTATAATTAAGAAGAATGAATCAGTGAAGAGGAAGTGCATTTGGACGATTTATGCTAGGTAAGTATTTTTTATATCCATCTGTAGCTAAGCAAAAGTAAAATTTAAAAACATATTTAATAAAAATATAACGTATTGAATACTTATTATTATTCGACTTGAAGTTTCAATGGAATTATTTTGGATTGAGTGCACAATACTTAAAAATATAATATACTTATTTGTTATAAATCTTTTACACTCTATTGAACACCAAATAAATTATAAAAGTAATTTAACTGAGAAAAATAGATATAAAAAACGGCCTTTGGCATCACCATATATAAATATTTTCCAGATAGTCCAATTTTAAATAATTATTTTTAAGAAAATCAACATATAAAATATAAGTTTTTAAACGGTTTTATTTAGCTCACCCCGTTTGTTTTATTTTTCTTTATTCTTTTTTCTTGGGTCAAATTTTTTAATTATAGGACATTTTTTTGTGCCATATATTATATTCATTCATCTGATGGATTATTTTCTTGGATTCTTATTATGCCTATGAGTACATAATTACACTATTTCAAACTTACACTGGTTAAAGTTGAAATATCGGTTAATAATTAAAATATATTATAATTTGACGTTTGGATAAATGGGTCTACTTATATTATTGTCTCAAGCTATTAAGCAATTGGAAAATTGTTAGGCTTAAAGTTATTGAATTTTTAATATTTATTTTGTAGCAAACTTAAATAGTAAGAATAATTTCTTAATTTATTATAAAATTAATTTGTTGCTTGTGTATAACTATACACAAATATACCATAGTAAAATTGTTTAGCGGATGGATGACTGCTAAATATTATTTTATCATTGGTTCAGCAAGGAAACAATTAGCATGATTGTAAACTAGTAAATATTTACTTGTAAATAAAACTATATTTTCTCAATATAACTCTACAAATGTGTATTAATCAAAATCTTCCAAAAAATTTTATTCCTATAATATTTTAACTATGGTAAAATCATAATTATATATTATTGTCTTTATGTGGCTTTATTCATATACTTACACCATGTTTTTTATTATTATTTTTATGTTTAATATTTCGTAATAATTCAATGCAAATTCCACCAATAATCTATCATCTGACTGTGAAGTCGACATTTTACGGCACCTTCGCTTCTGAGGCCGAAGGTCGGATTACGTTAGGGTTGTGAATCGTATAATTCGGTATATATTTCGAATCCATATTTTAATATGAAAATTTAATATCATCATATCAAATGTTGTTTTGAACATAACAACAAATATATAGAAGTAAAATTGAAACGTTTCAATCATTTATTTTGTACACAACATATTATCTGAAAGTAGATAGTGCCAACCCTATTTCACAGCAACTACAGTGACCTTAACGGTTTTGTATCGCGATGAGTTGAAATGAATTATTCTAAGAATTACAAAAACTGAAATACAATACGCTTTATTGAATAAATAGTCGTTATTACGGCTTACTATAGCTAAATATTTTTTCTATTGACGTGTATTAAATTTTATATCATTAGATATTTAGTCATTAAGATCACGATATGTTTAATTAGAAATTATTTTAGGTATATATTTTATTTGTATGTAATATAAATTTAAAAGTCAGTGGTGGCTCAGTGGTTAAAGGGCTCGCCTCTCGTCGCCGAGAGCGCGAGTTCGATCCTGGCCCGGGCAAGTACCAATGTGATTTTTCCGAATCATATGTACTTTCTAAGAGTATTTAGACATCACTGATTAATGTTGATTCCCAAAAGAGGGTTGATGTCAGGCGGGCGGCCGGTCGTAAATACAAATAGCCAAAAAAAAAAAAACTATTCACAACATGAAAGGCAGACCCTGGCTATAGCTGGGAAAATTGCCAGGTAGAAGAAGAAGAAGAAGTAATATAAATTTTACCAGTCATTTTAAGTAATTTTATAGTTTATATTAAATCTTTTATTTCGCTTTAAGTATCTTTTCCACAGTAATGTTTGTCGATGGCCATCGCGTTATTGGATGGATTCCAAATATTCAGTTTTTGCAGACATTACGTCTCGTCCTTCAGACAGTGCTTTAATAATTCGTATTACATTGTTCATGTTGAAATAAGAGGTAATATATTATGAAGTAACCTTATTATGAGTTTGTATCGCCGAACTGAATACGTGTAGTATACAGTTTTTGAAGAATTTATCTGCGTTGATATATAAAAATATCACGAGCGAAGAAAAAGTGGAAAAAGTCCGTTTTTAATATGAAAACAAGTGGTAAGAGTACGGTGTTTCTGACAACAATGGGTACTTTTTAATATTTCGCTGAACACAAGTCTCTAGTAACAACGGTGAAATTTATGCATAAAATTTTCCCACTTCATAAACAATGCGAGGATAATTGTGTATTAAATCTCTCTTTCTCATATAAATAGATTAAAAAGATTAAAGTTTGTTATCATTTAAATGATAAGTTTAAAATAATCTTAATTCTAATGTGGACTTTTTTGTCTGCATATTTAAACCACTAGCTTGCCGCCCGCAACTCTGCCCGCGTGGAATTCAGTTATATCGTGTTTCCAAGAGACCCTCAAAAGTCTGGGATAAAAACTATCCTATGTTCTTTCTCAAGGTCAATTTTATCTCTGTACCATATTTCATTAAAATCAGTTCAGTGGTTTAGGCGTGAAAGCGTTACAGACAGACAGAGTTACTTTCGCATTTATAAGGATTTATTTTGTAGAGATTGTCTGATTATAAGATCGTCCATTTAAATAAAATTGTACTGAAAATAAGATTATCGTAAACACAAAGAAAAATTCAATACCTCTGTTTAATATGATTTATCTACGCTATAATTCAATTTTAATATACAAGCTTGAATTACGTTAATAGCGATACGAACAAAGACTTCATTAATAATATGCATATAAATTATGAAGGCCGATTATACTATTCATTACTTGATTGAATGAGTCTACTCTTATTTTATACCTATGGTTTAATATTCAAAATATAATTATTATAAGAGAAAAGTGCAATAAAATCTACTATATATTTCTAGAACATTTTATTGTATGATTAATTATATTATTAATTATTTTAATTATGATCACGTATTTTGGAAGTAGCTTTAGAAAAAAAAGGATTTTAGTCACCTATAATATATTAAGTTATATATGTCTTAGAAATTTTTAAATCTATATTATCGTATGGAAGTTTCTAACATGAGAATATTTCTTGACCGTACTTTATTTCTCTTGATGTCCTGTTAAAAATAGTAGCCTTTTACAACGGAACTATAATACAGTTGCCTGTAGGTCATTTATGGTCTAGTACGCCTAGTAGGGTAGTGCGTAGTAGTTTAAGAATAATTATGTAATGGTATCATTTAATAATGACCTGGAAGTTCAACATCTCCTTGCCTGTAATATTCCTAAGTCCTAATATTCCAAGGTGTATTTATTTTTTCTCCAAAAAACAGTCACTTTGTATGTCCGCTAGTTCGTCGCACAACGCACTTACGTGTTACACAATCTCCTTTTAGTTTGTTAATTATTAAGTAGGCAAATAGTTTTAGATATATCAATCGAATAATTGTAATGCCTCTCGATAAACAGACATTTCGTCGAATGCATTATATACGCCTTAGTCAAACGAAAACCTAATTCTTGACACGTATGTATATTTTGGAACCTCACTATTTGATTAATATGAAATGTTTAACAATTAATATATTATATAACAATATCGAGCAAAACGGTTTAAATTGTTACGTCTCGTTGAAGATACACCATAAACAACAGGACAAAATAAGAAAGTAT